GTCCTGTGATGTTAAAAAATGAATTTGGGCGTTCCTTGAAGTTCTCTCTCAAAGGAATAGCTGACAAGTCACCAAAGAAGAACAAGGAATATGGAAAGAAATCTTCAAGTAAAAAATATCCCAAGAAAAAGGCATATCAGGCATCTTTGATTAGCAAAGGAGAATCACAGCTGAGTTTTGAAGGGAATCTGGATATACAATCTCAAGGATACAGTTTGGCTGAGGACAGGAATGATGAAACTGCACCTCAGATAAATGAAGGACAAGATATTTCTTCTCCCGTTGCTGGAATTTGTTCTACCAATCAGCCAGGGGTCTTGAAACATAAGCTGGTAGATGAGGTGATGGTTAGTGATGAAGATAGAACATCTCATGTTCTTAAAATTAAAAGCAATAAATCACACGATTTTGACAGTGGAGATGATAATGGAAAACAAGGTAGCAAGTCAAAGACTGTGAAAGCAAAGAAATTAGTCATAAATCTAGGTGCACGAAAAATAAATGTTACCAACTCCCCAATGTCTGATGCTTCAAGCTTTCAAAGAGAACAAAATGTGATTTCTTACAATGGTATGCCCTGACTTTCTCTGTTTACGAGATAACTTGTATTTGCATGAGTACATATATTATAATGATCATATTTCCTACAGTCAGACACCCATCATTTCCTCTGTTGTGCTGTCAGTGTAGTAACGTCCTAGATTGCAACATAATATTTCTAGCTGCACCCAAAGATCTGCTTTAGGTGTGATAAACTATTTTTTGCTCATTTACTGTATTATTAGTTTTTTTTTTTTTTTTTTGGCCAGCTACTTTAATCTTAGTTAAGCTTAGGTTTTTCTCCTACCCTTTTTATTTGTTAAGATTGTACGTATAAAATGAACAAGATATTAGATGGCGTGCAATAAATTGGTTTGTTGTTATCTCTGGTTCGAGAGATTAATGTAAACACTATTCTGCCTTCTCCTCTTGTTTGATTGATTATCAGGTGTTCAGGATGCAAATCAACAGAGAATGGAGGACAAGTTTGTAGATAGCCGTGACCGAATTGCTAAATCTGGTGATGGTAATATAGCAATCGTGATCCATTGCTTTGGTGTTAAAAAGTTTAATTGTTTTGTTGGCATTGGTGACCATTTGGAAGATGTGTTTCTTTCAATTTTCTGTAATTGAGACAGTGCAAATTTTCTGTTTGCAGGAGACAGAGTTGATCACTCCACCAAGTCAAGAGGTTTGAAAATTGCGGGAAGAGAAGGGAAATTGATAAAGTTTGGAAAAATTAGGTCAGATATTCCTGAATTGAGGTCCAAAGTCATTGCAGCAAACAGTTCTGATGGATATGGAATTGTTCCTCTAGAACACACACGTATTGCCTCAGGAAAAGGAAGCTTTGATGGAAGTAGGCTTGCTGCTGCACCTTCAGGTGAGGTCTCCACCCTAAGAGGGGGCAAGGTGATGTTAGGAAAGCACTTGCAAGACAGGTCTGATATGTATGGTGAAAGTAATGAAGATTATGTTCGCACACCTGTATTGAATTCTTTGCCAAAAGATCCCAAACCATCTCTTAAGTTTAAATTGAAGAAACCTAATCTTGAGAATCAGAATTCTCAGGTTCATTCTGAGGAAGAAAAGAGTTATATAAAGGGCCAAAGGTCAAAAAGAAAGAGACCATCGCCCTTAATGGAAAAATCATTGTTTAATGAAGATGAAGATCTTGATGTCACACAATCTCATCAAGACAGCTTAATGGATGACATGATGGCTGCTAGTTGGGTTTTAGAAAAGTTGGGTAAAGATGCAATCGGAAAGAAAGTTGAAATTCATCAGGCCTCTGACAATTCATGGTAAGATTTTGCTTCTCTTTACCACTGAAAAAACCACAAGGCAAGATCTGGGTAAACTGTAGGCCTATGGCTTTCTAGATCTTTTCCTTGTGATTAATCCAAGTCCCTTGACTCTACACCCCTTTACAACTGCAGAACATTTACACTACTGAATCTGAGCTCTAAAAGTAGAAAAAAGAATTTTGTTTTCAATTTCTTTAAGTTAATAATTAGAGCTCCACCCAAAGTATGCTTTAAAAATGGTAGATTGTATCTTTTTTAGGCACATTCCCTGAATTTAATCCTTATTTTCAAATTGAACAAGCAGGCATAAGGGAGCTGTTACCAACATCATTGAAGGCACGTCCACATTATCTGTCAGGCTAGATGATGGTAGAGTGAAGACTTTGGAACTTGGGAAGCAAGGGGTTCGTTTTGTTCTTCAAAAACAAAAAAGATAAAAAATTTGAAACTGAAAGCCTAATTTATTCTTAGTGAGTGGATTTGTAGAGATTTTTTCCATTTTTCTCATGAGGCAGTTCTCAGGCTCTAGGCGCAATGATAGGAGTTCTGCATCATCATCTTCTTTTTAAAAAAATTTTTTTTTTCTGCTTTGTAACGAAGCTACTTTATAGCTTAGGCATTTTCTTTCAGGCAGTTCATTTTTCTAGTGAAGAATCTAGCCTGTCCGTGAAGGTTTTATAATAGTGGAAGACTGTCCAATTTTCTTTCGCTCCTCCCGTCTTAATGCATGTATCTTAATTCACATTTGATGTTTTAAGTGTATCTCTCTCTCTCTCTCTCTCTCTCTCTCTCTCTCTCTCTTTGTTGGTCATCAAACTTGCATACGTTTTCTCACTTACCTAATGACTTCAAGCAATGCATTCCACAATGGTTGGGAGGTGAAATTTGCTGGTCTGTATAAATGTTCTGAAATTCAATGATAGAAAGCAATGGATATTGCACCCATTTCCAGATAATTTTCATTATTCGCATGACGTTCTTATTATAAAAGAATCACCTCAAACAAGTATGAGCGTTTTTTTAGTCATGGTTGCAATATAGTTTTAGTTCCTCTACTAACTACTAATACCAGATACTTTGCTTTGGTTTTGAGGGATTTAAAATATGGTTTTACTTTGCATAAGTTAAGAATTTACATCTTCATCTTACCCTTTGAGTAAAATAGAATTCAAAATGAAGGTATCATATATTTCTTATAATAATTAATAATTATACAGGGGGTGGCGGCTAATCCAATAAAAGCCAGAATCCAACACAATCATCCGAATCCAAGTCCTCTTGGATGGCTAGGAAACGTAAGCCTCCACATGCCTTCTTAGCTGCTTCCCAAGCTTCAGCTTCACTTGTAGTTATAGGAGTTCTCTTATAGGTTGCATAAACTTAAGGGGTAGAAATTCCAACAGATAGGATCAAGCAAGCACCGCCAGTGTCGGCCTCTACTGAACAGACTTCCAATCCATTCATCCAAGCTGCAGTGACGCATTTTGATTGAGCCTTGGTAGGTTTGAAGAAAACCCCATAATTGAATCGTGAATGCAATAACTGATAAAAAAACTCTGAAGGCACAAATGTTTCAGAGATCAGCTAATAGTTTTTGTAAACGCTACTTTTGGTCAAGTATTGGTTTGGTTGAGTAAGAACTAAGAGCCTAAGAGTTAAATATCACCACTTAAAAAAAAAAAAAAAACGAAGGAAAAATTAAAAAGCATTTACAATTTGATATTTAATGAATTGAAAGCGATCGAATCTGATTCAATTGCCGTTTTGATTAGTTGCACTTGCACTCAGTTTGATGGGAGCTTAAATGGTTAATGAGGAAATCAAAGATAATAAACCTGCCAATGGTTTTGCACGTGAAGATGCCACTGCAAGTCCTGGAATCGATTTCTCGTCATCAACTTTAATTCCCAGTAAATCCAAATGTAGACCAGTGCCAAATGCCTTTTGTCCAAGAATGAGATCTTCTCTCTAAAAGGTAGAACAGAAATGGAAAACCAGCTTCAGGTTTCAACCAGAGGAGGAAGCCAAAAAAAAGAAAGCATATTGAACACTACTAATATTTTAATTGATAAATTGAATACATTATTATCTTCCTTGGCACGTATATAAATACTACATGAACAACTATGCTCCGTTCTAATTAACAGGTCCAGGGTCTAATAAGTATTTTTATAACGGGTTAATGTCCTAAATAATCTCTAAGCTATTATAAAATATTTAATATAATATTTAAATTTTAAAAATCTTTGATGTAATATTTCAATAATAAATCTATTAATTAATATAATAATTACTATTAATATAACTCACTTTAAATGATAATACGTAATATATGATAATCTTACAATTACGTTATTATAATTACGTTAACAAATTTATAATTTAAATATCACATTATAAATTTTTAAAATTTAAGTATCTTATTAAATATTTTATTATAATATAGGAACTATTTATGATATTAACCATTTCATAAATGAAGCTAATTATGCAACACTATGTGGACAAATTCAATAAACGAATCTGTCACTAGGACATTTAATGAAAATTTAAATCTCGTATTAGTTAACGCCATTAAAAGGGAAAGATCTCCCCGAAAAAGGTAACTGGACAAATGCCCATTTTTCTCTAAATAAGTTCTCTGGAAGTTCCATTGGGAAAGGTTTATCTAATGCCAAAAGGCGCTGGGAACCTTTTTGAAAACCATGATGCCGCACATATATCGTCTCGTAACGTTCTTTCAACCAAAGAAGTAGCGATTCACACTGAAAAAGGACAAGAACCGTTGAATATAAGTATACCTTACCATGTTTGTAACTAGAGGCTCAAAACTGAACTTTATAGCAACATGCTGTAACTTTTAAGAAACCAAAGGTCCAAAGCAATTCATTCTACGTGGAGCTGATGGCAGTTTTTCAGTTATAGGAGAAATCGCACATATCCTTCAGCGGAGATGGGCTTGGTTTTGGATACGGCGGCCCGTATCAAATGTCTTTACCGGCATAAGAAGGAGTTATCTATGGGCTAGGTTTTTTAGTTAAGGTACCCCAATTTATGTACACTTAGCAGTTAAACATAACCCATCTTATTGGGCCAAAATTCTAGCCCATTGTTTTTCTACATCCCTTCGGATAATCGCGTTAAAAAGCCACTTCATTATGTGAGGACTGAGGAGGCCAGGAATCTAGACTCTTTTCCTTCTCCACAACTCGTTCCTGCTACGCTTTCCAGAAGCCAAATTATTACCAAAGCCGAAAACAAAAACCCATAGCTCCTTCATGTAATGAATGTAAGACCTAATCTCTCAACACCTACATTTCCTTTTTTTTTTTTTTTTTAAGCTACTTATATAGATAATTCTTGCGAGCCATTGCGTTATTCACCTGTTTGGTTAAATGTCTCTGAAAACCCACCAGTCTTAAAAGGTTACATATGTTTCCATACACATCGATTCTTCCCTGTAAAATAATATTATTTCTTTATAGTTTCTTGATTTGAAGTTGGTTATTTTAATAGCTACAAATTAATAGTAGTATATATGTTTGTCATGATGTGCGTGGTAGCAAAAGTTGTAGCTCGTGCTGGTTTAATTTGAATGTATGATGTAGCTTCCTTTAATGGATAGGTATCTAAAGGAGCAGGCTTTGTGTGATTTAAAGGATGGTGAAGTTTTCAGCTTATTCTTTGATGATATCGTCATTTACACCTTTTCATTCTATTATCCTGAAAAACCCTTGCAGATTTTATACAAATATACCTTACAGCTATTCAACTAAATCAAGGAACATTTCCTATTATATCCAAAACGCCAAAATTCATACAGAAGACGTGATGGTTGCCAGGCGCTATCTTCCTCCTCTGTTTAGGTACATAATAAAATCTACTGCATATCGTTTCTTTTCTTTCAAACACTCTATGAATGAGAATGATAATGTATTTTGGTTGTACTGATTTGCAGTGTGGCTCCCATGATGGACTGGACTGATAATCATTATAGGACCCTTGCCCGCCTTATCTCAAAACATGCGTGGCTTTACACAGAGATGCTTGCAGCTGAAACTATTGTTTATCAAAAAGGGAATCTGGTAAGTTAGTGGAAGAAGACACTTAGTGTGTCACATGATGCGCTGCTGGCATTGGGGAATCTTAACTTGAAAGCCCTTAGATAAATGTCAGAACACCAATAAAGATGGAAAGGAAGCTGTGGGAAATTTTAGATGTATATTTGATTTCTCTGCCTGTATGTGATGAACAAGTTTTGGTTGCTGAATTTTACGCCTTTTAGTGCTAAACTGTAAAGTGATAATGATTTCTGATTCTCTTGATTTCAATTTTTTTCTTGCTCAGGACAGGTTCTTGGCATATTCACCAGAACAGCATCCTATTGTCCTTCAGATTGGTGGGAGTAACTTAGAAAACTTGGCAAAAGCCACTGAACTTGCTAGTGCTTACAACTATGATGAGATTAATTTCAAGTTTGTACCATTCCTTACCTGATTTCATTGGCTTCCTCTTCATTTGGCAAAATTTTTCAACTGATGCATTTTCTTTTATCTTTGTTTTCATTATTGTTACTGCTATAAAACCAGTTGTGGGTGTCCTAGTCCAAAAGTTGCAGGGCATGGGTGCTTTGGTGTTCGTCTTATGCTTGATTCAAAGGTTTGATGGCTATGCTGATAAAATTGTAAAAATTTTAAGCAGATTAGATGATGCTTTTTCTTTGCCAATGTGCACTTACATGTTCATTTATAATTACAAGGAAAGTTTGTTGGAGAGGCCATGTCAATCATTGCTGCCAATACAAATGTTCCTGTCAGTGTTAAATGCCGGATTGGTGTTGATGATCATGATTCATATCATGAACTCTGTAAGTTCTTCTGCCAATTGCCAATGTTACCCGTGTAACAGAAACTAACTCAGATTTTTTTACTTAGTAAAGGATTTTTCCTATCATTGTGTTTAGTGCTGACATTGGATGCAATATCTTTCTTTCTTCTTTCTCCTTTTTAGGTGACTTTATCTACAAGGTTTCTTCCCTATCACCTACTAGGCATTTCATCATACATTCACGGAAGGCTCTACTAAATGGCATTAGCCCAGCTGATAATCGAAAAATTCCTCCTCTGAAGTATGCTTTTATTGAGCTATAGATTATCAAACTGTTAAGTTACATCTCCTGTTGATCATTACCAATGTACCAATATCTATGAGATGAGCAATTGATCTTTTTTTTTTTTCTTTTTCCAAATTCAGATATGAGTACTATTATGCCCTCATGCGTGACTTTCCAGACATAAAGTTTACAATAAATGGAGGCATAAATTCTGTTGTTGAGGTGAACCTTTGTCAATCATCTTTGATTTATTCTCGCAAATCTCAAGTATATATAATAAGTTTGGTGTCCTGTATTATTATTTGGTGATGCCATAAATGTGAGTTAGGAATCATATTCTCTTATTTGTTTACTTTATGATGAGAAGGTCAAATTAGAGGATTTTTCATTATATCATTTATGGTTTTTATTACTATCTCATTGTGGAGTTAGTAATCCTGGAAAATTGAACTTGCTTTTTGCTAATTTTCTTTTCAACCCATTGGAGAACTGATTGGGGGATGGAAAATTTCTGTACAAAAGAGAAATATTTTGTTTGGATGTCCTAGAGTTTTATTTGCTTGGATCTTCTTTAACCACCTCTGCTATCTCTTTGACGTTGCTGCCATAAACTCTTGGCAGCACTCTGCATATGTGCAAGAAATTCTATAACCTATTGTTTATGGACATTTAAAATTGTAGGTAAACGCAGCACTAAGAGAAGGAGCTCATGGTGTTATGGTTGGACGTGCTGCATATAATAAGTATGTGTAATGCATCTCTTACTTTTTATTTGCTATTTAAGCATTTCTTTTTCTATATTTATTAAGCCTTTTCCTCCGCATCACTATTTTTGGCTAACTCACAACTAGCTGACTAGAAGCTGTTTGGTATTTTCAATAGCCCTTGGCGGACTTTGGGGCATGTTGATACTGCAATATATGGTGCACCAAGTAGTGGACTTACACGCCGCGAGGTTGGATAGAAGATTGCTGCCCTTAATTGATGCATTTTGCTTCATTTTGTCATTAAATTAATATCCTCTTGTAGTTTACGCTTCTACTTTTAGATCCTTGAACGATATCAAGAATATGGGGACCATGTTCTGGGAAGAGATGGAAATAAAAGACCTAATGTCCGAGATGTGGCGAAGGTAGGCATTTTGCCAGTTGCATAGCATCATTGCAATTCTCCTTGTTGATCATAGGCAAATGACACTTTTAGTGGTCATTGTAGATGGTTTTCAAAACCTTCAGAAACATACATGCTTTATCACTATCTGTACTGATATTGTTTACTATTTTGATTTGGTTATATTTAAGGTTTATCTTTATTTGAATATAGCTTTTCTTTTGCCCTTTACCTCCCAGCCGTAACGTATCTTTTATGAATCTGCTATAATATCTGCAGCCTCTACTCAACCTTTTTTACTCGGAGCCTGGAAATGGTCTGTGGAAGCGCAAAGCTGACTTTGCTTTCCAGCATTGCACGGTATGAAAATTGTTACAAGCCTTCTTACTTTTGCCTTTAGGAGAGTTGGTACAGTTTTTGGGAACTTGTCTGGATAGTTTTGACCTACAAGTTAAGCACAAACTCTGCTACCTGAAGCAGATCAGTTTCTTTAGCTTTTATCATTTTAGGGAATGCATTTCATTCATTAAGGCGAAGAAGCTTCCTGGAGAATAGTCTATTTCAGCGAACTTATTCTGTCCAGATTAAAAAATTCAAAGACCACAAAGAAGCTTCCTGAAACTGTAAAATCATAATTTCATTATTGGAATCCTTAAATTCTTATATTACTTTTATAAATTTTTCTTATTGGCTGGTACTTAAACGGTATTTTCCTATTGTATCCATCCAAGTTCTCTCTTTAGCTACAGGGAAATGAAGTTCTGACACATTTTTTCTTATTGCAGACAATGAAATCCTTCTTTGAGGAAACACTTGCGGCAATACCTGATTCAGTCTTGGATTCACCCATTGCAGGGGTGCCATCTGGTCGTGAAGATCTTTTTGCTAATATACATGATTTACTGCCATCCTCATATGATGCAAGAGAACAGGAAGCATTGGATGCTTAGAGTTTTTTTTTTTTTGTTGGCAACATTGGAAAATTGTATGCTTAGATTTTTCATGTTCTAAATTCCTCAGTTCCAATTGATATAATCCCAAATTGCAATTTGTTGTTGGAATACGGCCTAATTGGTCCCATGTTATAATATGTATGGAAATACATCAAGGGTTAATTCAAATTTTTTGTTGTCACTCTTTATGGGGATTAGAACCACTTGGAAATTTTCAGTTACTATTAAATCTCTGTTTTATTTCACTTACCCTCGTTGTAGTAAGTTTTGCATAGCTATGCAGCGAAGTTTTGGTAGCGCCTTTGCTATAGTTGGACTCACTGAATATTGTAGCGATATTTCATGCATATACTGTAGAAAAAGAGAAGACATTTCATTTCATTTGTTTTGATCCGTATGGTTGGTGCTAGCTTGTCCGTGATCCTGTTTTTCTGGCTGGCCTTTGCCTAGCAGCAAAGGATATGAGTACAGTGTAAGGGATAAATAATAAATGAAGAAAAGGAATGAATTATCTGGAGAGAGAGGCAGGAGTCCTGTTAAAGAAATTTCATGGCCACCACAGGTTTCCACCTTGATAATATGAGTGATGTGGCACTCAAATATTGGCCCAAAATTTTCTTTCGATAAGGTCTCAGATTTGGATACTCCACCAAGGCCTCATTTCTTCTCCTTCACATACCTAAACTGGGAATTTAACTAACTTGAAACACCCCCACCCCCTCGAAGTCAGAAACCTTTTGGCTCCTAAGCACCTGCAGAAAAATGGCTTCCATCACCATGACTGCATCATGCCTTGGCACCACCAGCCTCACAAAAGGGTCTCCCAGAATAGCCCACCGTAGACTTGTGGTTGCCAATGCTGCTAAAGGAGCTGAAGTGGAGAGTGCTAAGTTGAGTGGTGAGACCAAAAGAGAGTGCAACAATGGCAGGAGGGAGTTGATGTTTGCTGCTGCAGCTGCTGCCGTTTGCTTAGTTGCCAGGGTTGCAGCAGCGGAGGAGCCAAAACGTGGCACCCCAGAAGCCAAGAAGTTCTATGCTCCTGTTTGCGTCACCATGCCAACAGCTAAGATCTGTCACAAGTGAGGCACTGCTGTACGTAGTGTTTGTCTGTATGCTTACGGGTTTCTTGGAGTGCTAGTCGATGTAATTTGTTAGTGCTTGTAATATTTATCTTGGAGAAACTTAATTTAATTTAGTGCGTTATTTTGTCTGATGATCACAATGGATGTCTTGATGGTTGAGACCAACTTTGTACTTGTTTGTTTCATCATGATCACTCTGGTCTGGTTATAAGTGCCCTGGATTCTGAAATCATGTGTCCAAAACTGAAACTCACATTTCCAAGTAGAACAATTTGGATTTTGGAATAAGCTTGGTCATGCATGGTTCCGTCTACAAAAGAAAAGAAAATCTTAATTGTATTTTCATGCACTTAAATAATCTAAAAAAAAAAAAATTTCAACATTATTTATTCAAAGTATAAATTCTTTGAAATTTTAATTGATATTCAACTAAATTAAAAAGGCAAAAAAGACAAAAGACTGGGAGAGTAATAGTAACAGTTGTTTTTTTTTTTTTTTTTATTTTGGTAACAAGAGAGTAGTATTTGTTAGTGGCTAAATAACATTTATTTTTATCATTTTATTTTGATAAATTTTTATATTTTTATTATATTTAAATAAAATTTAATTTTTAATTCATATTCAAATAAATTTATAACTTTCAATTTATATTTAAATAAACTCTTAATTTTTAATTTGTATACAAATAAAATTTGAATATAAATTAATTTTTTTTGAAATAAAAATTTATTTGAATACAAATAAAAATATAAGAGTTTATTCAAATATAATAAAAATATAAAACTTATTTAAAAAAATAATTGAGAGATTTTCTTTTAGTATTTAAGCTTTATTTACCCAATAAAAAAACATGTAAAACTGACTCCATAGATTGCCCACATCCATTACTAGTAACTACTAATGCGCTCCTACTATCATCCAACGGTGAATTGGAGTATGCTTAGCAGCCGTGATACGAAATTCTCCTCAAATGATCCCTAAATTACGACTTTGTCACCTCCACCAACGCTCCACTCCAGTCCACTCCGCTCCACCACCCTGTCTCTCTCTCTCACTAAAAATCCCATACATTCCCTGGCGAAACAGATTCAGACACCGAGAAAAGCACTTAAAGAATCAATAAAACCATGGAAGCACTGCACGACTACGACACTTCTTGGAGCTCCTCCTCCAACTGGTTTATCGCCTGTGGTTCTCTCCTTAATTCCGTCACGTTCGAGTCTTCATTTGCGCCAATCACCGACTCCAATCAACATGATCAAGCCATTGATTCCGCTCGGAAATCCCCCCTTATCTTGTGCCCTACTTCACCTGATTCCGTCCCCTGCGAGATCACTAGTGAGTCCCCCAAATTTTTACCATGTTTCTATCATTATCGGTTTAACATATCGAAAGAATTATTAGCGTGTTAGTTGACGTTACTGGATAATTGGGTTTTCATTTTTCTGATGAAAGATTCAACCTTTTGAAGTTAAATCAGTAAAGTGACTTTTTCTTCTTAATTTTTTTTTTTTTAATTTGATGCTTGTTAAGTAAGCAATGTGAATTTTATTAGCATTAGGGTTAGTATATATCATTTTCCAAATTTATTAGTAGAAGTTAGTTGGGCATAAGATAAATTCAAGCAAAGGTAAAGAATTTGCAAAAATATCCCTTTTTCCAAATTATTGTATTCCTTACTCGCCTTGTGTGGATCATCTTATGCTGCAATTGCTTTTGCACAAAAACATGAACTAAGACAGGTTTATGTCCGAAGTACTGCTCGAGTATATGAAATATACTATTCTGCTAAACCTCGGAGCAGCAATGAGTATCTCTGTACTGTTCGATGTGGTATTGCCTCCAGAGATGAAGAGGTGCTTCATGCAGCCGATGTGGATGAAGCTGCTTTGGCACATATAAAGGGAGCCAATAAAGAGTTAGATGAAAAGAGACTAAAAAATGACGGCAATTCAAATATGAATGAAGTTGATTGGGTTGAAGTTAAAGCTCCTGATGCTTCTGTGCTTGATAATGGAAGCCTTGTGCCATCAAATTCTATTGTGAATTCAGGTAGCCCACAGGAGAGATTTTTTTATCTACTTGCAGATTCATCCAAGCAAAGCTTCGTTCTTTTCCCCCTTTTTAGCATTCTATGGTGTTAAACTGCATGTTCTTGGTAATTTCAGAGGGAAAAAGGGTTATCTTAACCTATTTCTGTCCAATTGGAGAAACTAATTTGTATCAACTATGAGAGTTGACTTCAGGAAAACGTCGGGAGAAAACTAGTAAGAGCTTAAATCGTTGTACATGTCCAAGACATTAGAATAGAGAAGCAATAATGGAATGGGTCAGCACTAAAGACAATTGTCAATGAAACAGAACAATTAATGAGAGAAGTTAGCATTCTCAACTTAAAGGAATGAGTAATTTTAAATGTCGGCAGGAGTTAGGCTGGAACATAGTTGCAACATGGAAATCTTAGTTTTAAGGGGAAAATAGAAACTTGAGAATAGCCTTTTCTTTTCCTTTCTTCTGTTTTTCTCCTTCCCAAACAAGAGATGTCACAAGAGTCACACTTGGACATAGAGTCATAATTGGGTCTTTATTTTACTCCAGTTCTGATTGATGAAAATTTTCAGGATTTATATGAGGCTACTGCTGAGGTCACTGATTCAAACACCTGCATGTCTGTTACTCTCCGCTTGCTTTCACTACAGAATAAAGGTTGTGTATGTGTTGGTGAACTCTATGTTTTTGCTGATCCTGTTGAATCAGCTGACTCAGAAAATGAAGTGGATCAGATGGAAAATGCAGGTGGAAGTTCTCTTATGGCAATGCTTGCTCCCACACTTTTGCAGTTATCTAAAACAGCAGGTCTCTGTCGCCGACAAAATGAAAACATGTTTGGCACAAAGGAAAAAGAAAAGACACAAGAAAATGATTCAAAGGCCATTGAACCATTAAAGTTTGCAAATGAAATCCCGCAAGAAGTAAATCCCAGTTTAGCCAATCAGCAGGAAGTGGACTTCCAGGAAGCAATTGCAGCAACTATTGAACCAAACCAACATGAGATCCCCCCACTTAAAGATAGAGAAGCCAAGGCTGATGTGTCATGTGGGCATATTGAGATATTCCTGGATCAGCTTGTTTCTCGAGTCAGCAGAGTAGAAGATCTCCTATTAAAGTTTGAAGAGAATATGCTAAAGCCCATGAGGAGCATTGATGCAAGGCTCCAGTGTGTAGAGCTGCAGCTTGAAGAACTCACTAAGAAACCTAAGAATTCTGAATTGCCATCTTGTGCAAGATATTCTGCTCCTGAATTTTCATGCCACGATTCAGATGATTACACTCCCTATAACATTGGAAATGAATCTTCATTTCATGATTTATATGCATCACGTGAGAAGGATATTTCATCATCTATCAAACCTGATGAAACCATTTATTCTGCAAATGCTAGCCACTCATTCCCAAGTCTTGTAGTCACCGCTCCTGAATTTTCTAATGCTGATGATGAGGAAGATAATCATATATCCGGAACTGGTTCTCCTAAGGATAAACCAAAGCAGACTATGTCAATTGATGATGCATTTGCATCTGCCATTGCCAGTTTCCTGTCTTCAACTTCAATTGACCTTCAGAAATATACTCAAGCTCTTCCTGTAAAAGCCCCTGAATTTTTACACGAAGAAGATGGTAGCATTGACAAGAAGGTGTCACCAGAATCACATTTTCATGTAACATCTGAACCTTGCCTTGACACAAGAGATGGGATGGATTCAATGGTTGCATCACTGTCCTCCAACTGTCCTTTAGAGAGAGTAGGGGAGGCAATGTGCTCTCTTAATGATGTTGATTCTGAGCAAACAGCTAAAGAAGTTGCTGAATTCTGTCAAAGGCAAGGCACTTGCCATGACACAGTTGACTGCGTGGTTACTCCAGCCAGACTTGATATGCACCAGATAGTAGGGGACGTGGGAAATGGGGAAGTTAGCAGTGGAACAAGCAAAATTTTTGTTCTTGATGAAGCTGATATTCTGAGTCAATTCCTTGAAAATCATGTTGATTATGTTTCTGATACCAGTGAGGAAAGAGATCCTCCTGCAAACATGGGAATTAAAGCAGAAGTCACCAAACAAGGTCCTCATGAAGAATTGCTGCAGAATTTACTGGAATTATCATATGCTTCTTCTGTAGTGGATTTGGAAACTCCAATTCTGGATGTAAAGTTTACTTCACAAGACAACTCCAATAACAAGTATCCCCTTGAAGCCCTATTGTCTGACATGCCTGCCACATATGCCGGTGCTTCTTGTTCTAAGAAAAGTGATGATGATTCTCAAGGTGGTGAAGAGTGTAACTTGATTTCAGTAGGGGATGGGGAGCGAGCATCGCCTGCAACTAATGGTCATTTTTCAGTGGATTTGGATGGTTACGGTTCGAGCAATATGCCTTGGAACTGGGAGGTTGAAAACCTGGCGGATTATCATGCATGTAGCAACCGGGAAATTTCGGCAGCAAGTCTTATATGAAACAGAAGTGCTAGTTGTGTCCTAATGTGGTTTTACGTGTAGTATTTTAGAATCTTAATCTTGATTGTTAATTAGTGTACAGGTGGTAGCTTGAAAACGCAGATCGATGATGGTTTGGTAACAGAAGTGAGTTAGAATTCAATGCTTAGTGGCTTACTGATTGGTATGTGCTGCTGGTATAATCTATTTAGGATTTAAACTGCTCTGACCCTCTCTCTCTCTATTGGTACATTGTCCTTTTTTTTTTACAACAGATACTTTGCTTTCAAGAAATGGAATTTTCCACATCGCCGCTTCTGAATTTCTGAAGGGACTCCTTGTTAATCAAATCAAAGTTTCAAGCTACATACTACTTTACTAGTTAATAAGGGACCGTGCTGGTGATACGTGTCCGTCTTGGGGATAATCCTACTAAAAAGATAAAATCATTGCATGAATACTTTATTTTTTTTATACAAAAAAGTCAAGAGATATGAAAAGAAAATTTATAACGGCGGGGATATCTCACTTTTTAAGGGCGATTAGTTTACAAATTTTTAGATTTTGAAAAAAAAAAATGATATTGAAAAAAATAAATAATATTTTTAAATTTGTTGATTTTAAAAAATATAAAATTTTAATATTTGATTAAAAAAATAACATTATCTAATAAAATATTTTATTTTATTTTATTATTTTTGATAACATATAACAAACATAAAAATATAAAAATAATTTATTTATTTATTAGTGAACCTCTTGAATAGTATAATTTTTGAATAGTATAATTTTAGTAGAAGAAATCACATTTTTAACAATTTCTTTTTTTTTTTTTTTTCATTTTACCATAGATTTGCCATGGTTTTAAATTTACTTGTGAATAGATTTTATTGAAATATATATATATATACACACACACACATTACAACTACTAGTAATATAAAAGTGCTCGTAAGAAGGAAAAAAAGTATGAATAGATTTTAAAAGAGGAATAGGTGGTCTTTCCCCGCTAAGAAGAAAAAGAAGCAAAGGCTAGCTTAGCTAGTAGCAGCAAGTGTAACAGTTACTCACTGGCACTTGTGCCGTCCCTCAAGTGCATCATCCATTTCCGAGAGAAGAGCATCGGCATAATGTTCTAACTAAAACCCTAGTCATCAAATCTAGGGTTTTCCCCAACATGTCTCTCTATCTATAGATTGATAATTAGGGTTTTGGCTTTGGGCTGGTTGTACCAAATGGAGGCGGCAGTGGTCGATGCTGGATCCAAGCTCCTCAAGGCGGGACCCGCAATCCCAGATCAGGCTCCCTCCATGGTATGTTTGTTTTAACACCTCCACCCTAATAATAGGTAATGAAACACCAACAAAGAAAAATAGAAAAGAAGGTTTCTTTCGAAGGTTACTCAAACCAAAATGTAGCTTTTAAGTGTCCTCTCTTCTCTTAATTTGTGTTTTCATTTTGCTTGAATTACTTGTATGGTTTTGAGGTATTGCATATTGAATTTGATTTCTGGTCAGATAATTCCTACTCAAATGAAACGCATGATTGAAGATGGATCCTCAGCTGATAATTCACTGGTTGAAGATGTCACTGTTGATCCTGTTGTGCGAGGATTCGTTAGAGACTGGGATGCCATGGAAGATTTGTTGCACCATGTTCTATACACTGGCCTTGGATGGGAAGTTGGGAATGAAGGACAAATCTTGTTTACTGATCCACTTTGTACTCCCAAGGTTAGCCACCTTTATCTTTTTCATTCTATTCTTGTTACTCTTGGCTTTTAATTGTTATAAGGGATTGGCAATTGTTAAACCACTTTGTAATACCTCCCCCTATTCCCTGCCATGATCATTTTACTTTTATTTAGATGAAATGAGGTAACGAATGCAGCTGGAGCCTATTTGACGCCGTTTGAACATGCAAGAAAAAGTGTTTTTATTGGTAGAATTCTCTTTTTTTTTTTTTCAAAGTGTTGTTAGATTGAATTTATTTATATCAACTAAGAATATATTTAATTTGTTTATAAAATTGTGAACCATGTTTGGCCCATCTTCAACCTTTTGGAATAAGAAGCTGCTCACGAAGCTGGGTCAAACATGCAAGTATGAAGGATCGTATGTTGTCATTGTCATATATTTTATTGCTCTGTTGCTCGTGTTAGGTATTGGTTATAGTCAAATTCAGATCATAGGCGTCAAACTAATTTCTGCTACCGCTCTTTTGCCCTAACATTCTGGCCAAATCTGTTATTCTTTGAGGTTGATTACCATGTAATTAAATGGTGTAAAAGATAACTAATCTTTTTCCAGGCTGTCAGAGAACAACTAGTGCAATTGCTATTTGAAACTTTTAATGTCTCGGGATTTTATGCGTCAGAGCAAGCAGTGTTATCTCTGTATGCTGTCGGGCGTATTTCAGGTTGTACTGTTGATATTGGTCACGGGAAGATAGGTATGTACATGTATGCCTTTAAGCATGTGAGGTTTAATTTTTTGGCTCCTTGGTTCTATACTCGTGTATGTCATGGACAAGTTAGAATCTTTTTACTCATATCAGCGAAAACCCAACCAGCATGCTGATGAGTACCAAGTTCTTTTACAAATGCATAAGACAATAAATAACAGCCTTGAATATTGAGTAATTCCAGGAGGTGAAGACAAAATCTCTTACCGGTTAAGTGTTTAGCATACCTCATAGAGTTTGAATTTAGTTGTGGATAATAGATCATGAATCACTTTCAATTGGGTTTAAGTTGCAAATACTTTGACATATTAATTTAATTGATTTTCTGTTCTGCCATGTGAACTTTGCTCTTATGAACAGACATAGCTCCGGTACTTGAAGGTGCTGTCCAACAAATTGCCTCCAGAAGATTTGAAATTGGAGGTATTGATTTGACAAAGTTACTTGCTCAAGAGCTCGGTAAAAGTAATCCTATGGTGAACCTCAGCATCTTGGATGTTGAGAAAATAAAAGAGCAGTACTCATGTTGTGCTGAAGATGAAGTTGCTTATAACAGAACCGTTAAATCATGTGAGACCGAGGAACATACCCTCCCTGATGGACAGGTTTGTTTTTTCCCTTTTGCTTTCTTTCCCCCTTGTTTAAGTGTCTTATTTTCCTTAAATCTTACTGTAGATCTGCTTATTATCTCTCATATTATTATTTGAAGTATGTAGAAGATTGACATAAGGAGTTATGGCTGCAAGAAATTTGCATATTATACCCGAGAAAAAGAAGTAGAATGTTCTTAATATGGTTCAGTAACTAGAATGAAAAGGCCAGGAAAGAGAGAAAGATAATAAAAAAAACTAAGGATAATGTATAAAGATGTGATTGCCTTTCAATTTTGTGGAGGTGAGCATTTTGTGATTTATTGTCATTAGTTCCATGTCTGTGTCAGGCTGTGTTGTAGTCAATCATTTGCTATGATGGTTTTTATCTTCTAGCCGTTAAATTCAGAAAGACAATACAAAATAGAATCAGCAGAATATGGTCAGAAATCAGACTACTGCAAGGCAAGGGGACTTATCAAACTGAACAAGGAAACACCTCTTCTTCTTATCTGCTTTTTTGGTTCTATGGTCGTTTTAGTTTTATGCCCACATCTTAAAAGAGATTTATGATCTTGCTTCTTGCAATTTGGATTTTTGGAAAGCTAAATGACAGGTTTATCAAGAACCAGAATAACTTGGCCTGGTTTTGGGGAATAGCTTAATGCATACTCTATGAGTTATTCGGATATCCAATGAATTCTAGTCTATAGAACTTTAATTTTTCAAATTTAATAAGATGACAGTTGCCTCACTAAGTGGACTTATTTACATGCATTATTGGTATTCCTTGCTTAAACCCATAACTTATCTATACATTTATCCCACTAGCTTATTTTTCAGCATGCCCCATGTTTTCTGGCAAGCTTCTGTATTTAGGATCTTCAAGTTGTTGTCTCTCTGATTGTAGAACTTTTGAAATCGCAATTCAGGTTATAAGAATTGGAAGAGAAAGATATACTGTTGGTGAGGCATTGTTCCAACCATCCATATTGGGTTTAGAAGCTCATGGAATTGTTGAGCAGCTCGCTCGTAGTATTTCAACAGTTTCTTCTGAGAACCAGAAGCAACTGCTAGAAAATACTGTCCTTTGTGGCGGGACTACTTCTATGATTGGTGAGAATCATATACCTTGATCATTGTGATGTTTGGATAATGGAGGGTTATTTCTGGATCAATATAAGACAATTGTCAATAATACTTTACATAGGCATGCTCATAGCCATGACATACGATTCATTAGAATTTTGGATGCAACATTTTGGTGTAGTTATGTTAATAGTTGCATGTTGACTTTTTGCTTCACAGCTAAAAACACATTTGTCCACTGCTTACCGCAGGTTTTGAAGATAGGTTCCAGAAAGAAGCAAGCCTGTGCTCATCAGCTATCCGTCCTTCTCTGATAAAGGTAACATATTACGTGACGTGGGTAAGCTAGTACTATATTTGGTGATTCTCAAATGGTGTAGGGGTGTAATCGAGTCAAATCAAGTTGATACAGTAAAAAGCTCAAGCTCAACTTGAAATTTGCTACTCAACTTGAGCTTGATCGAGTTTTAATTTTCAAGCTCAAACTTCACTTAAGATAAAAATCGAGTTACTTATGCTCGCTCAATTAGGCTTGTTTATCAAATAAAAACGAGTTCGATTGCCATGTTTGACTCAAGTTCGATTATTTATGTTTAAACTTGAGTTTGAATTGATATATATATATATATATATATATATATATATTAGAGTAAAATAGTAATTTCAATTATAATAATAAAAATATATATTAAAATATAAAATATCGATTGGACTTGCTAGCTACTCGAGCTGGATTTCAGGATGCTAAAATTCAACTCGTGCGATAAGTTTAGTTGTTCGAGCTCGAGCTTAGCACGACAATGATCGAGCGGAATTCGAGTTTTACAGTTGAGCCTGAGTAGTTTGCAAGCATTTATGTATTATTTGCACCCCTGAAATGGTGTAGAATGTTGGTAAAATACATCTGTAATAATCATGTATATTTTGCTTTTTGTGTTAATCTTTCTGAGTTTTTGACTGCAGCCTCCGGAGTATATGCCAGAGAATTTGACAATGTATTCAGCATGGGTGGGAGGTGCAATTCTTGCCAAAGTGGTGTTTCCACAAAATCAACATGTAACGAAGGCAGATTATGATGAGACTGGACCTTCTGTTGTTCATCGAAAGTGTTTTTGATTAATTTTACTTGCGTGAGCTAAGTTCTTGTTCGCAGCTTTCTGTCTGTATTATATTATGATACTAATGGCTGTAGAAAAACCTGAAATAAAAAATTGTCTTTAACTGGTAAAGGAAATTGCACACCTAATGTTACTGATATCAGTGTATGTGAGTCGGTACTCTTTAATTTCAAGGATCAGCACTGGCTTGCTTCAATTTATCAAGTTCATCAAAATTGCTGTGTGCAACCTTCATTACAGAGGACTTTTTCCTCTGCTTGTATATGATTCTTTTTGCCTTGAACGTATATTTTATGGTGGGCTAATATATATGATTGTGAAGAGCCCGTAAATGAATCCATTTGATAGTACTCTCTGCTGCTTTATTGTTGTAATTGAAAATAAAATAAATTTTTTGAAGGCGTTGATTTGAATGCTTCGCAGCTGCTTCCTTGTCTTAGTCATTGACATTATGTTTGGTATGGAAGAAGTAAAATAAAAGGAAGAGAAAAGGATGAGGAAAGAAGAAAGAAAGGATAGGTTTGGTAGGAAGGAAAGAAAAGAGAGAAAATAGAAAAAAATTTGAGAAAAGAGAAGAGAAAGCAGAGGAAAGAGTTATTTTTCGACGTGTTTGGGAAAGAATGAAAAATAGAAAAAAAAAAAGAAGATTAGGATAAAATTATAAATAAAATTATTAATTTAAGTAGAATTAGTGTTTTCTTCTTATTTTTAAAAGGATTCTATTTGAAAAAAAAGCGACAATTCATTGTTTTTTCTTTTTCTATTTCACTCTTACCAAATGATAAAAAAAAAAAAAAAAAATTCTTCTACTGATTTTTTTTCTTTGCATATCCTAAATCCTCTTTGAATTGACCCCATTTTGCTAGTGTTCGGTGTGTGCACAACCACATATAGCTATTGTAACTGTTAAATAATGAGAACTATAATTACTGACGTGAGGGACTTGAGTTGGCAACTTACGTAGATTAAGACGTCTCCCATCTGTCCTACATTGTTTGGTCCTCGTCAGTCAAGTACTGAATCCATTTTCCCTTTGTAGAGCTCTGGGTGCAATTTTTTACGCAGGTTGCTGCCAACTTTTTCACCTGTGAGGCTGTTCTGCTATTGGATTAGGACGCGTCTCTGCTAGTGCCCAATTTCACACCACTTTATAAGCAAGTTCTCTATGAACGGTTCAAGTGATGTACTGAATTAGCGTTCTTCACGAGTCATGCAGAGCTCATCTGGCTTTGGTTGGACCATCCTACATCATCTAGACATCTTTGTCCCTCTTATTCATTATTGATTGGCTCCAAGACCCCATTGGAGCTTCTTTCCCACTCTTTCTAACTATTGCTCCTTGAGAAGAGCTAGAAGATTTAACTTCTCTTTCAAGTCAAGTTCCAAAAGATGATCCGCGGCTAGATCATGGAAGCAGGAAAGTACTTTCTTCTCCCCTTTTCAGGGGGAACGGGCAAAAACCGTTGCCCCCATTGGATCCCTGCAATTTGGGATTCGAGAGCTTTACGTTTTATGAACCATTTACACTAATTCTTTGAGGGAGGAAACGAGCTTAATAACCAGAAAGGAAATCCATCTTCTTCTATTTTGGTGGCATGATTTTTATCCTGCTGGACATCTACAGCTCGAGTTCCAAACCCCAAACCGAAGCTTCAGCTAAAATAGACATTTTTTTTTAACGTTTTAAATTGTAACTTCGATTGGTTCTTTATTATTGTTAGTATATCAACATGTCAATCCCAAAAATTGAACATTTCGGAACCTGTTTTTCAAAGTTATTTCTAATCCAGAGCCTGTTTCATAAGCAATGCTCGGGTTTCTTTTTGTTAATTTGAATAAGGAGGTGTAAAAGTTAAACTTGGTGTGATCAGACACTTGGTTACCTCTTCATGTATGAGTCTGATTCTTAACAGTGAGTTTTGGCTGCATAGTCAAGAAGGAAGAGTAAAACTCTTCTGATTGTCAATTTGTAAGATCATAGAGGATGAAAAGGCTCTAAAGCGGAAAAACAATCAAAAAAATGTGAAAGGTGCCAATTATGCAGTGGAACCCAAGTCTACAGAGCCACATCGATCTCTCAAGCCAAAATCCAAAGGCTTCCCATTCGCACATTAGAATCTGATTCATAACTTGCCACACAGTAGAAAAGCAAGTGGACAATGCTCTTGCTTCTCGGCATCTCAAGTCTCAACCCTATACAAAAAGCCCCACAAAACAACAACCATCTATGCTTCTCTTCTCTTTGCCCCCCGACCTTGTCTCAAGCCATATTGCAAGCTTTTTTTAATAGTCAATGGTTTTTTTTTCTCAGAATTTCTCACTATTCAATTTATTCAAATGGAGCTGCAACATATACACACACACACACACACACCATGATTCATGGCTATACAAATTGGTAATCAAGATTTGGGATCTCAGGATTTTTTTCCCCCAGAAAGATAGAGAGTTAGGCTACCTTGGCTGTCCTTTTCTTTTGATTAATATGGAACTACACCAACATATAACTTATGCATATATATAAGATCGATAAGATTTAAGAGCGTAGGGTTTCCCCGCTTCCAGTAGACTCTAATAATTGGTCCACTTCCCAACTTTCTCTGGATGCAACCTTGTCATGCACTGGAGCGTATTCCGGCAAAATAATATATCATCCCATACTATTTCCTGCAATATTGTTCTGTCATCGTCTCCTCTCCAATAATTCAACATATACGTTTAAAAATTATATAAACACTGTATAAGATGAATATACCACCTCCATTTTCCTGAAAAGTTCTTCAGCTGTATCTGCAATAATCACAATATGTCTTGCGGAACTGTCAATGAAACCTTCTTCAACTCCCTTGTCAAATAAAGCAAGCAAGCTGTTATAATACCCCCCCACATCCAATAATCCAACCTGTTACACAGATTTCTTTCTTTTAAAATGCAAGAAATTTTAAAGCTATGATCTAAAAAGACCAAACTTTTCAACAATTACAATAATATTAAAAGAAGACCAAACTCACCGGCTTCTCGTGGATTCCTAATTGAGACCAGGTTATCATCTCTAACAGCTCTTCCATGGTACCATAACCACCTAAGCAAGTACAAATTTTGATTCAATTTGTTTAAAGATAATTTATACCATATAAATTATCCAAGAAAATTATTGGGAATTTTATAGGAAGCATACCGGGAAGTGCAATGAAAGCTTCAGCTTGTTTTGCCATTTCTGACTTTCTTTGATGCATGTCTGCAACTGTTTTCAGTTCTCCAACAGTTTCGCCGGATATCTGCAATGAATTCTTTTTCCTTTTTGGTGAATAGCTTTCAGCTTCATTGTTTGAGATGCAAAAATAGGAAAAGCATGCAACGTGAGGAATAATGGGAATATCTATATACGATAGTACTTCACGGGGCAAAAGAGCTTTCGGAATCACTCTACAGGAATCCAAAAGGATGAAAAAAATAGGTAAAATTTTCCCACAAGAGCGCAAAGAGTATATATAATATATTACATATGCATCAATTATAGAGATAAAAGGTGTACCCAAGTACGTGGCAACCACCGTTAAAGACAGTCTGAGAGAGATCAAACCCATTAGACCTACACTTCCTCCACCATAGACCAAATCAATCTTTCTTTCAACCTAGGATATGAAAGAAACGTCAATCAACATACACATGATCGATGTCAAACTCAAAACATATAGCAGATCAGTGGGTGATACATATGCGTGCAAAATTAATTTCCAGAATTTGAGGACATAGTAAAGTTAATGAAGGGACGAAACAAATGGAGACTTTCCTGTTGGGACTATAGTACATATGATATAGAGCGCTACCAACTGTTTTACTACCACAGAAAACACAAATTCTTTTGAACCTCCGTTTCTTTTTATTTGTGGTGGATGGTCTTTCTCTTTCCATTCTCCCAAGAAGATATTTGTAAAAAGATCTAGAAAAGAGTAGTGGAAAAAATGATGTTTGAGCAAGAGACAGAATTCAAATGCAGAAGATAATAGATATATGTTGGAAGGGAGGCAGATGGAGAATGGAGATACCCCTCCACTGCTTTTGAAACTATACAGTAGCCTACACCTTTTATCACGGTCATCAAAACACTTCCTTTTGTCTGGTTAAACAAGTACTTTTTGTTGGAGAAGTGCCCAACAATACCCCATCTCCATCCTTCCTCTTAACTAATCATCCTCTCTCCAACAAAACCTTTTTTAGTATTTAGAATTTAGCCATACGCTTTCCATTTTTGGTCGTGTCCACCAATACCTGAGCCTAGGCACTTGTATTTTGGTCACTCCATATCTCTGATCCCTCTCAGTCAAGATTGCATCTTAGTGGGCCAAAAACCCATAATCTTAAAGCTGGATGGGATATATATTGCATTTTCACTACCTTTTAGGTGTGTGTGTAAATATGATGGCCAAAAAAAAAAAAAGTCTTAGGGTGTATACAACTATACGTAAATGATTTAATGGGTAATCTTGTTTACTCCATTATTATATGATCGGAGATGATTAATTAATATTCAGGATTTAAAAACATAAAAACTGAAATAGTAATAATGATGTTTTAGCAATTTTTTGGTCATTTTTGTTCATTCAATAATTATTTCAAGAAATAATTAGATAACGATTGACTATTAGCTCATTGGAATCTATTACTCAAAAGTCGTTACACATGTAAAAAAACAGCATATTCGGACCCTAATCTTCTTAAAATGGATTTAAGGTGATAGGATTAGGATCCCACCAAATCTATTTTGCTTCATCTATATTTGTGTTTTGATCCACGACAGATAGACAGACAGACAGACAGACATGTCTCCACTCCAATCTCCTCACATCTGATGCTTTGGGAAATTAAAATGCAAATGGAATGCCTTTTGGGATTCAAACAATCATTACATTGTTCCTTCGCCCACAACTGGTTCCAACATTCTCAAAACTAAGGCCCGTGTTTAGTGTAGACAGAGTCAAAGCAAAAAATTAAACTGACTTCGGATTTGGTATGACACCTGAATGAAAAGCTGAATTCAAACAGTGGTACAGTACCCTTCAATCAATAACTAGGGTACCCCATCTCTGTTTGCCAAAGCTTTTTTTTTTTTTTTAAGACACAAAACGAAATAAAAGACGATGGTGGTTGCCGGTCGGCCTTGGGAGTTGGGATGTTCTTATCTTGCTTTTGTCCTCTCTCTCTTTCCCTCACCTCTTCATTTCACAACAGTTTCTACATTTATAATGAGCTCGAGCTAGCTCTGACAACGCTTTGGAACACATGTGAACTCTAAAACTCTAAACAAATGTAGATGGAAGTACAGACGTCATACTATTATACTCCTATTATTACTATTGATTCCCAATTGACGTTGTTGTTAAAATAGTGGAATATTTTTAAAAGGTTATGGTTGACCTCAGTTATTTTCCAACATTATGTTCTTTTTTATAATTGATATTTTTAAAAATTGATAGTAGTTTAGTACTTCATTCAATCATTATAGTCGATAATCTTTACAGTGCCTTACAATTAACCTTAGACAACCAAATTCATATATTACGGTTATACATATGTTATTTTTTATTTTTATATATAATTAATTCATTACAAGCTTATAATAAATGTATATATGAGAACATTATTGGATAACATATTTTTAAATTGTAAAGTTATAACCCTAATTCGAAAAAGTTAAGCCCGTAAAAGAAAAATGTTGCAACAAAAAACTCATAATTGATTTTTATTTAACTTGCAGAGAAAAGACAACTTCAAAGGCGTAAAAAAAAGTAGACATTAACTAAATTAAGCATGTATAACATCAAATTAAAATACTTAGATAGTGTTAATGTACAGAAGTCACAAGTCAGAACCAAGCATTTAAAAGATTAATTAATTAATTAATTAAAGAACAAGGGAATTTGATCAAGATGAGCAAGGTGGAGAAACATTCCCTCGATAAGATAATTTAACATTAGCACATGAAGCTTCCGCAATATCTTCTTCTTGAGGTCTTAAAGCTACATCTTGCAGGAAAATCCCTCGACAAGGAAAGCTCTGGCTGCAATCGAATTTCACCGCCACGTTAGAGGCACTTGTTCCTCTGATGTTTTGATAAAGCACATCGCTCACTTGCACCGCTGACACCTGAACAATTTTTGTAAACTTTGTTAATATTATTGCCTTTGACGCATGCTACCTGATTTCTATATTTGAAGGTGAAAGGAGCTTTTTACCTGTTTGGAGCATGGTTTTTGTTGGTCACAATAGTTTTGATCAATAATTATGGGATTGCTGACGTTGTGCATCACAATATTTTGGAATTTGATGTTTTTGGCATACCCCGATCCTCCCTAACAATATTATAAATTAATTAGACCAAAGGAACATATTGTAATCTGAAATTTGAAACTATATATAAATATGTATATGTATATTGATTAATAAATAAATTATTTTCATCTAATCTGTATATAAAATTTTTTACCAGGATCGAAAGCAAAGCATTGTTTATTTGGAAACCTTTACAATTTCGTTGGCACTGGGCAATTCTCAATCACAAGTCAACAAGTAAATTGTTAATTCTAAGTCTTCTGTGAAGTTAGAGGAAGAAAGAAGAGGTCGTTGGCTTGTTGTAATCATTATCACCAAAAAGCAATTTTCGTCGCCTACTTCCTACTTCACAAATTTAGCAGTTTAACCTCTTTCCTTTTGTTGTTGAGGTTTCTACAGCCAAGGATTAATTGTGATATCTGTTGGTAATTCATTGCAAGTACTGCGGCTCAATTGGGGCTACTTTTTTTTTTTTTTTTTGTCTTTTCTGGATAAAATTAGAGCAATTTAAGAATTTGTCTTCACAAGAAAATTAAAAGAAAGCTGTTACCTGCCAAGTCTTTATTCTAACTCCGTTGGTGGTTCCTGAAAGTGTTGCTCTATTCACTATTACGTTGGAGACATGAGCTGCAGAATTTCTAGCTCCTAAGCTCCCAATGCTGCAAACAGTAACAAATCGCTATAAAATCCCATTACCAAATCTACTCCATCAATTACCATGTACCTCAATGCAGAAACAGCAAAGTTGAAATCAGTTAGGTAAATGTTTGGTTTAGTAGCGTTGAATTCTAGACCTGATTCCGTGGCCTGGTCCACAAGTTATACCCGTGGCTCGAACATTTTTGGAGCCGCTCACGATAGAGATACAATCATCACCTTCAATTGCATAAGATGAATTCATCAGCACTGAAATTGTTATATTTAGATGTCCCTAATCGATATTAAGTACTGTTTTATTAATTTGGTAAACTAAGTAACTTGATTGACTGAATTACCTGTCCTGATGACACAGTTCTTAATGTTAATATTCTGGGTTTCAGTGACATGAATTCCATCAGTGTTGGGGCTGTTTCCAGGTGCGATCACGAAAAGATTAAAGGCTTTTACATTGACACATTTTTGAAATATAAGATGCATTTGTTGTGCATTTTTTATCCGCAGTCCTGCTACTCTAAGGTTACTGCATTTATAGAAGGTTACAGCCTGCAAAAAGCAATTTTGTTTAATATATAGTAATTATTAGGGGGGAGAAAAACAAGCTAATAAATGATACATACAAATTAAGAATAAACAATCATCTCCAAGTATAAAATATGAGAAAGGATGTTAACTTACTGTTGGCGCTTCCTTGCAAGGCTGCAAAATGATGGAACAGACAAACATAAGAAGCATTAGCTGTTTATTGATAGAAATGACAAATATCAATTTCAAATATAGTTTGATACAAATGACATACAAGGGCTTTGTTGATTTTGCAGGACTTTTGCCACCATGTTCTGCCATTACCGTTGATGATGCCTCCACCTTCTACTTTTAAATTTTGAACATTTTCAAAGTAAAGCCATCTTCTTCCATCTTTTTTGTAATCTGAGTGATTGACAGTGGCTTTAATTGTTCCGTAGATCTATCATGTTAAAAAGAATAGGAAAATGTTAAACGAAGTACTACTCTGTTATTCAATTAATTATAATGTGATTAAACAGTTCATTTTATGCCTGCATTGTGTGCATAAGAGACTGTTTATATACGAGTAATTGAGGCAAGCATGCATGCATCCATGCATGCCAAAACTCACCTTCATTACAAGAGCAGATTTGCAAGGTCCTGAGAAATCAATTGGCTTAAGATGATAAATCTTGTTCTTAGGGACCACCAGAATAGCTCCTTGAGAAGAAGAACAAGCATACTTCCACGCTGTCTTAAATGCCTAAACAGATATGTCAACCAATAAATACTCTTTCCCGCATGCAATATTGGTGATCAAAGGGAAAAAAGAGTGCACACACCCACACAAACAAAAACAAAAGAAAATCAGAAAAAGGGTGGGATGAAAAACAAAGTTGAAGTGAAGCCTCAATCCTTTCTTATTAACAGGGTACCTGAGAATCGTCTCTTCCATTAGCTTTAGCTCCAAAATCATCTACATTCACTATCTTTGGAGCCACCGGAGCACGTGCTCTATCAAGCCTCGACCAAATTTCATTGTTATAGTTGAACAGGTTTGCAGGGTTGGGATTGTGGTAGTTTCGTTGGTTAGAAACGCCAAAGGTGCGCGAATATGGATGATAGGTTGTTGGGCGGCGATAAGCATGGGCTTGACGAAAATCAATGTGAAATGGGTCCTCTGATAATCTGTAACTGCCAAAACAGGAGGGAAAAGGCAAAGAGATTAATGTAATGAGAAGTGGGAGAGAATGGGTTTTTAGGAACATTGTGATCTTCACTTTTGGAAGAGACACAGAAGACAATCTTGGATTGATATGCAAAGGTTGCTGGAATAAATGGAGCTATGCACATATATTTATAGTAAAGCCTGGGATTTGCTGTTCGACAGTGATATCTATGTTCAAACATAGAGATAGAGATGTGTTTGTGGAGAAGCAATGGCAATTTAGGTCTCAGAGAATGCTGATGAGTCATGAAGTCAGAGAAGGTATGGATTAAGAGATTCAAGAAATTGAGACGAAAGTGTTGCTTGGCTGCCTCTAGCTACCCTATTTCTTTATTCAATTTCTTCAACTAATGAAGAAATTAACTCGGAGCTAACTTACTTTGTGCTTGTTTACCAACACATACATGCCTTCTACTGGTTTCAGCTCATACGTAGGCAGCTGAATATTGGATTCATTTGGTTAAGATGCATGCATGCATGCCATACACATGCCTCATAATCTAAACACAATTATGTTAGTAATTAAATGTGTTTTTGCTATAATGTTTCTATTCCCTGCCATCCTTTCCTCTCAATAAAGAAAAATAAAAAGAAAACTACTCGTCTGTTGCCTTTAATTTATGTGAAATTTATGCTCTGTTTATAGCAATTAATTAAATTTATGAAAACTAATTTCTGAAATTCCTTAGGTAAAATAAATGAAATTTTCTATTAAAAACAATTTAACAAAAATTTATTTTGAATATCAAAACCTATTAATAAAGTTTAATAAGAAGGTAAATAACATGTTACAAAATATTAAAAATACAACTTATAGCCAAAATTTGATAAGTTTTATTAAATGATAAAAAGTTATCAAAATTTTTAATAAAAATATCTTTACAAAAATGTTTCAAAATTTATACACTTAATTTATATATTGAACTTTTAATAAAAAAAATTTAGAAATTTCCTTGAATATCTTTATAAAAAATTTAAGATGATGCATGCATGCGCTACTCTGGATGAGCATATCTTTGGGATGCGTTTGGTATAGTTATTCCCCTTTTTCAAGCTTCGGTTATGGAGTTTTGGTATTAGTCCACCTATTCTTTGTCAGAAAAGCACCTGGTAATTTATAATTTGACCATCTCCGGCCGACGAGCGGTTATTGGAAAGTCCTCAGTTTTGACTGGTAGCTCCTAGTTTAATTTGAACAAATTATAACAGATTTTTGAAACATCTTTATATGTCAAACACGCATTTTCTCATAATCATTGTTAAATTGAAGATCTAATCCCACTTTCTAAGCCCACTATAGGTTTTACTTTACTCATGTTTTACGAGTTATTAGAAACAATATTGGTTTCACATAGAGAATGCAGATTTTAGACTCTCCAAATCCAATCAAGTCAACCCAACAACGTGCCATTTTTTATGTAATCAATTAATTACTTCTCGTGAAAGAAAATATTAATTATGCGATGATTAAGACATTATAATTTGGTTCATAAATCTATAGATGTATTGCTCACAATTAATACTTAATAGTGACAAATTAAAAGGCACACTTTTCTTGTAGTAGTTATTATGTAAATCTTGCCAAAAGGAGGCTGTCAATTCGATGAATATCTCTCCCTCAATTGTTAAAATGGACATCTAAAATATTGTCCCATAAACTCAATCACATGGTTCTAAAAACAAACTCTGACAAAGTTGATTTCAGATGGATCATCAATGACATATGACCATGCATGTATGTCATTTTATCATATATATCAAACTTCAAAGGGAAAGGGGGGCCGTGTGTTTGGTTGGGTGAGTTGGACAAGTTAAGCAGCTTATTGGTGATTTAGCCTAATAAGGGAAATTGGGATTTGCGTGTGCTTTGGGGGGGTGAAAGAGAATTAAGAAAAGATATAAGAGCGAGCTTCACCCTATATGATTGCGTGGTGTGCTGGAAAGCAGAGGGATGGACATGGAGTATTTTACGTTTGGTTTGGTGTGTCAACCGTCAAGTGGTCAAGTCTTTGGGTGACTTAGGGTTTTTTGGCACTCCAAGGTTTTTATTACTTGATAATCAAAGGCAAGACTTCCACAACACCCTCTTTCCATATGTACATATATGGCGTATATGCAGTTACAAATGTGTTTTTATATAGTGTATAAGTTGATTATTTTGGGAGATGAGATCTCCAAAATTTCTTGGGAAAAAAACAGTTAGGTTTCTTTGAAAAAGGATTTTTCTTTTGGAAGAATGTTGAGCACAACACAAATATACGTGGGTTAAATATCAATTAAGTAGCTTTGAAAGTTGATCACAAGTTTAAAGTCAAAGCATGAGATATACCAAACATTGACTGCCCTAATAGGTAGATAGAATTGAAAGCCAATTACATTAATGGGATTGGCATCCAAACTGCCAACCTCTCTTAACTAGAATGTCGTCATGCATATATCATAAAAATAAATAATAAAGAGAATTTGGTAATTGGTTGTAGATGAGGTTTAGGCAAAAAGACACAGGCGGCAATGGTGGATTAAAAATGAGATAAAAATAAAACGAGAAAGTAAATTATGTTTCAATTGTATATATGCATTGTGTGATAAATAATCAAAGAGGTGAGGGTGACAATGACCCTAGTGGGGGAGAAACCAAATTAAAAATAGTGTCCTCAGAGATACGTGGTTCGACCCTTCATCAAACGCTATCTTAAAGGCTATGGCTACCCAAATGATCATCTTGTTTCATATATGGAAGTTAACAATATTGATTACGCCAAAGAACACATGGTGGTTATGGCGCTATAACTAGATTGCAAGATTCTATTAATTAGCTCTAGCTGCCTAATTACTAATTAGTTTTTGGCTCTTCTTGTTTTATATATACTAAAGAGTGTTGCTTTTTATTTTTTTATTTTTTATTTTAGTCATTCAAATTAATCAATAAATTAATTTATCGTTAAAATTTATCCCAATTTTAGAAATGGAGCTTTGATGTTAAAAAATTTTGGTTAAAAAGCGATTCAAATATCTCCATTCACGATGAAAAATGACTAATTCTTATGCATGAAAAGGATCATGATCTATATTGTAAACAATTCATGAAAGAAGATAAACTATCACAATGGGATTTGCATATGCATTGTGGTGGTGACTGTTGTGTATAGGAGGGATGGAGGATTAATTGTTGTAGGATGGCTTTGGTTCCACTAACTTGGATTTTTTGTCTGTGTGTCAGCCTCGAGGTTGTGGCTTTCGTTTTTTAACAGAATAATCACAGCAAGCAATTTAAAAAGGAAAATTCCGAAGTTCACTCGCAGTCTTTAATTACTAGTAAACTAAAATCAAAAGATGAGTGACGACTTACATGGACCCAAATATAGGGAACATACAGTGTAGGTAGAAGATTGGAGAGTTTGGGCCACATATGAGTTAGTAGACCCAAAGCTTTCCGTGGACCTCATCTCCTACCCTCATTCCTACTTGTGTCATGTCATGTTGGCCTCAAATATATAATTTTTTTTGTCCTTCGTATAGTAGCTAGGTTATTTCACTATTTATCTGTTCCAAAATAAATTTAAAAATAGTTCTAACAATAATATTTATAGGTTTGAATTTAATAGTCAAGTAACCTTATCCCTTTCATTGTGAGGTAGCGGAATCAACGTTTAACATATGACTTCTTATTTTAGGAGTTTGGCTTTTTATAAGACCAAATAAATTATGAAAGAAATTCAATGTTTTATTTTATATATAAGTAAGGATCTATTTATGTTAAATGTTTATTTGATATATAAAGATCTATTTATGTTAATGTAAATTTTATGCGTTTTTTAAATTTTGAATTAAAATAATTTAAGCTAAAAATATTATTTTAATATAATTAATCGTAAATTTAATTTTGATCTGATAAAAAATTGTAGAAAAGTTAATCCCTCTGGACTATTAATCTCCTGTAATGTAATTGTCTAGGCATATATGATGTGGCACTTCAGATACCAACAAACTACAAGGCAGGCGACGTGACAGACAAGACCACTGATATAGACTGTTATACATAATCATTTTCACTACTTTCTGCTTTTCGCTTTAGCCACTTGTTGGAATAAGCTTCACTAAAAATTTTAAAGACTTAATAACTTATGTTTTTAAATTGAAATGATGTCTAATATATATATATGACTTTTTTTGGCGTGTTCTTATAATTTTGTGTTAAATCTTTCAATTATTAATATTGAAGTCAAAAATTCAGATTCGAATACTAATGGAACTGCTGAAAAAAATTATTCACAAATTAAAAGTTGGTCAAAATTATTAATTTCATATTCTCAAATATCAATATGAAAAAATTTAACTTGAATTTAAGTATATAATAATATATAAAAGTAAAATATTTAAGTAGATATATTAAGTTAATCAAGCTTGAAAAGATATCAAAATAATCTAGATAATAAAATTAAGTCTTGTGATTTTATCTAAAAATATATTAAAGATATTAGATTACTTAGTTTAAAGAAGGTATTAATAAAATTATATCACCGAAAGTCGAGGTCAATTTTGATAAAAATTAATAAGTATCTAAAATAAATTTTAAAAAATTTTTAGATGAAATTTATACATACGTTAAAAAATTTTATATCATTAAAAAATTTAAATAAACTATTTTATATATACAAAAAAAAATCTAAAAATTTATTAGTTTCAATTTTTAAATTCAAGTAACGTCTTCTCGTGGTTCCAAGTATATCAAATCTCCCAACACCACTTCCCATTGTTTTCAAGAGACAGAGAAATGGCGGAGGAAAAGGGGAAGCTGGTCAACGGAGACGGCGGAGGAGCTGGGACGGGAATCGTGGAGGTGAATCCTAAGCCGCAAAAGGGGCTGAGTTCGAAGCTGATTGACTGGTTGGAGCAGTTGATAGTTAAGCTTATGTACGATTCTTCACAACCTCAACATTATCTGTCGGGTAACTTCGCTCCCTCTCCTAACGAAACTCCTCCCACCAAACATCTTCCTATCAAAGGCCACCTCCCTGTAAGCAAATACTAACTACCCACTACAATCTTTCGTTAAAAGTCTCTGTTCGCTAGTTACGGAAGATAAGAGTATATTCTCTTCTTTTATTTATTTTCCTTTGACTAAAGGATTGCCCTTTACTATTGCTTCCGTAAAGTGTATGTTACTAATATTTTCTATTTCTTCAGGAATGCTTGAATGGTGAATTTGTCAGGGTTGGGCCCAACCCCAAGTTTTCCCGTGGCTGCATATTACTGGTTTTGTGTCTGTCCAACTCATCTGTTTTTCTTGTGAATCAAGTTTCAGTTTTGATTTATAAACCATTGACCGTCGCATCTAATTCTTTTGTTTTTTAATTTCTGTGCCTACAGGTTTGATGGAGATGGGTATGTTAACTTCATTTGATTATTTATATAACATTAGTTCATTTCATTGCAAATTTTGATTATAAACATAAATGTAAAGAAACAAATCATATATGTTGCTTTAGTTGCCCACTGGTTACTTCATCATAGGGGTGGTCAGTCTTAATTACAATCTATCTCTGTTTTGCACCAACTATGTGGATGCTTGTCAAAATGACAATTCAAATCTTGTTCTTTGCTCCTTACCTTTGCTTAATAGGGGTGCATGACATAACAGAAATAACATATGGTAAACTGTTAAGTCCTTAATTTGCAGAATGATTCATGTTTTGTGCATCAAAGATGGAAAGGCAACATATGTCTCCCGTTATGTGAGGACATCACGTCTTAAACAAGAAGAGTTCTTTGGGGCGGCAAAATTTATGAAGGTATACGTTACAAGTTACCTCCTTGACAGAAAAAGGTTGAAAAGCGTTATAATTAGTGAACTTTTTATTCATTATAACGCTATTTAGAGGGGAATATGCATCATGAATTAATGTAATATAAAGCATTACAAAGTTGTACTCGTTATTTTTTAATTTCCCTGAGCTGCTCCCAAGTGGTGTGACCTTATGAAATCTAAACAGCAATGGCATGACCTACACAGTTCCATCACTTTAAGAGAAGCATTAAGATTTTAATTCTAACTGTAGGAAACGTCCGTTACAAATGCTCATCTTGGGCATGTCATTATCCTCTTCTTGAATGTGTCATTTTGCAGGTCGGAGACCTTAAAGGGCTATTTGGATTGCTCACGGTCAATATACAGAAGCCGAGAGAAAAAGCTAAAGTGTTAGATCTATCATATGGAAATGGGACAGGTAAATTGTTGAGTCTGTTCATTGAATTCAAGGCATGTGCTTTAAGCAAGTTCCATTATATGCTGTTGCACAATAAAATAAAAATGGATTTCTTATTGCTTATGAATTACGTCTGTGACGCATTTATGCTTTATCTTGTTGGGTGCTAGTATTTGTATGTCCTGGTGTCTGTTCCACACATAGAAAGCAAAGATATGGCTGAATGGTTCTAAGATACCAATGTTATTTCTCTAAACCTTCTCTAAACCATCACAGAAAAGAAGTGTTAGTGAAAAACTGGGTGACCTAGAATGGATTATGGATTACATTGTTCATTCTGATACATTTAGTTGATCTGGTACCCTTTGGGACGGGAGCTCCTGAAATTTATTTGTCCCTCAATTTATTCCATGAAGCCATGGCACATTTATCCATCAAAATGCAGTCTGAAACAATCCCAACCTACCCTTTCAATTTTTTTGTTATTGCTCATCACTAGTCGTTTACTTGTTTTAAAATGTTTATCTTATTGATGTGAAACTATGACTTGGCATATCATCATCGTACAGCTAATACAGCTCTCATACATCATCATGGGAAACTTCCGGCACTTCAAGAGGCTGATAAACCTTGTAAGTTTGCCTTGTCTCTTTCAGTTTTCTTTTAAGAAAGAATGAAGAGGGTTAAGTATGCTAAAATTCACATCTATTTGCAATTCTTTTTTTTACTAGGATCTTTTTCTTCAATGAAACTTGGGTATTAAATTGTAATCCCTGTTGCAGATGTCCTCAAAGTTTTGGAGGATGGAGATCTCCAAACTCTTGGCATGCTTGATTATGACAAGCGGTTGGCACATTCCTTCACTGCTCATCCAAAGGTCGATCCAGTCACTGGTGAGACCCATCATTAAAAATGCAATCAGTAAGTTATTAGTTACAGAGTGGTAAAAATGCTTTTGATTTATGAGATTTCTGTATGCAGGTGAAATGTTTACTTTTGGCTATTCTCACATGCCACCGTATATCACATACAGAGTTATTTCAAAAGATGGTTTCATGCACAACCCAGTACCAATAACAATATCAGAACCGATCATGATGCATGACTTTGCGATTACTGAGAATTATGCAATTTTCTTGGATCTTCCTTTGTATTTCAGACCAAAGGTATGCCACCTTAAATCGAACTTTGTTGCTTTTCTATCAGAATCTCAACTCTCAAATCTTTGTATAGGTTGTTATATGACTTGGGTTCCTAAAATGTTGTTTGATTTCTCCTTGAAAACTTTTATTTCGATAGATAACTGAAATTATTCATGGGCAAGGCTTCTGACATCATTGTTGAGAACCATAATGATTAAATCATGTGATCACTGACATTTAAAATTTTCAGGAAATGGTTAAAGAAAAGAAGCTGATATACTCATTCGATGCTTCAAAGAAGGCTCGTTTTGGTGTGCTTCCACGATATGCGAAGGACGACCTCCTAATCAGATGGTTCGAGCTGCCTAATTGCTTTATATTCCATAATGGTATTGTTTGTGTTTTATCATTGTTTACATTCCAAAACTTTCTTCTAGGAAATGAAGATGTATTAGATAGTTTCAGTTCACTAATAGCCAATACATATATATCCATTTGCATATTCCCATTGGTAACACTCACATTCAATCAGCTCTGGCAAGGAGTTATTAACTTTGTATGTTTTAGTATGGTTATCTGGCTTATCAAGGACAGCAAACATCACTAGCATCAACTCGTCCATGGACTTATTGACACCAAACATAACTTGAGCTTTCTTCCCTTTTCTCCAAAATGAAGAAAGAGAAATATTTGATAGACAGTGATTTGTGTTTACAATTATTATCTGATCAATTTCAGTTCAGTGGCTACACCTTTATTTTTTTGACAATTATCTAAGAACCGACTTTCTCAAACTTCCTGAACTCAATCCTTGATTTGTCAAGCCTTTTCCTTCTTCCTTTTAGGAACTCAATCCTTGATTTCTTAGTTACTATCAGTTCAGCTACCTACGGAAAGGTCATATAATTCTTCTATGAAACATGGTTTCTTCTCATTATATTTTTAAAAATCCCTCAAATTTTATGCTTAATATTTGATCAATGTACATGGCTGAGTTAGAATCTAACTGATTTAATTATGTTCTGTTAACTAGCGAATGCTTGGGAGGAGGAAGATGAAATTGTTCTGATCACTTGCCGACTTGAGAATCCAGATCTGGACATGGTCAATGGGGAGGTCAAAGAGAAGCTTGAAAATTTCTCAAATGAGTTGTGAGAACTCTGACCTCCTGTGCAAATTTGTACGATGATCTTTGTAGTGAAAGTTGTTTCTTGTTCTTATGATTTAAATCAGGTATGAGATGAGGTTCAACATGAAATCTGGTCTTGCTTCGCAAAAGAAACCCTAGGGTGAACGAATACTACACTGGCAGGTATGTATCTGTTATGGTGTTAAGTATTCTCAAAATATGCAGAGGAAAATATGTACCTATATGATATGCTTATCTTTTTTTTATCAAGTTTATACGTCACTTATCATTTGCATGTTCATTTTCTCTATCTTACTCGAACTCTTACTTATTTCTCTTGTGTGAATTTAGAAAACAAAGATATGTGTATGGAACCATTTTGGACAGCATTGCAAAGGTCACGGGAATTGTGAAGTTTGATCTGCATGCTGAACCAGAGGCAGGAAAAGAAAAGATTGAAGTTGGGGGGAATGTTCAAGGCCTCTTTGACTTGGGTCCCGGTAGATTTGGTTCGGAAGCCATTTTTGTGCCTCGTGAGCCGGGCACCACTTCTGAAGAGGATGATGGCTACTTGATATTCTTTGTCCATGATGAGAATAGTGGGTATGTCAATCCCTTTCTCTTGCTATTTATCGTCTTCATTTATTCTTTTTGAACGAGTGAGAATAACTACTACCATTTTGCATCACCTAGCCAACTGGTTTGACTTTTTTTTTTTTTTTCTGTGAGCGGAAAATCATCAGTGAATGTGATTGATGCAAAAACAATGTCAGCAGATCCTGTTGCAGTTGTTGAGTTACCCCACAGGGTTCCGTATGGGTTCCATGCTTTCTTTGTGACAGAGGTCAGTATAATATATTGGATAACATGAAAAGAGATAAGATGTTTAAATTTTTTCTGCTCTTTACATATTTCTAATTTTCTGATCTTGTGCTTCCCGTGGAACAGGAACAACTTCAAGACCAAGCAAAATAGAGATCACACGGCGTAGATTATAACCGGCTGTCGTGTCAACGACTGGTTTATTACTGTAATAATGATACCTGTATGGTTTTCCCAACTCTACCATGGTGCACATGTATAAAAATATAATGGTCAAATGTGCTTATTTATGGTAACCGTATAATTCCAAATTCCTACCATTTCCAACATTGAGCTCTTTCCTTTGGTTTTGGCCTCGGTTTTATTGATTCTTCTAAACGACCGCTCTTCTTTCTAAAATCTGAATGTATAGGATTGTAGGACTAACAACTAACAGACAGAATTTGATCAGATGTTTAGGGTTAAATCATCAGATGGGCAGTAAAGTGACAGACCGATTGATGCAATACCAGTATGGAATAAAAACGAAATTTGTATTCTTCTATAATAATGAAAAATAGAGAACTTGGAAAATTAAAGCTTGAATTGCAGCAAGCAGTTTATGTTTTCAAATGGACGATCGATGGATGAAGACGTTTCATCCGGCTCTTTATCAAGCGTTCAATGCCCATCACCATAAATAGGAGAACAGCTGAGGGAAAAGATCAAATAGTGATGCATAATTAAAAAAGAAGAGTGACGAATCCCTCAGGGTTTGTCAAGTATCAACCCGGCATTAGAATGAAACACATGGGTTGGTTGGTTGGTTGGTTCCTCAACCTCTGCCATTGAAAGGGAGCACCAAATATTCACGTGTGTTTCACGCATATTTTCTGATTACTAAATATTTCATCACAGGGATCATCTCACCAGATTTCACCCACAAAACTACAGTCTGAGATGACTTCTTTTTCCGGTCTTTTTGCATAAACGGAAAAGGGAAGGGAAAAAGAATCTAAGCGTGTAGATAAAATCTTTGATAGATTCAACGAGGAATATAGAGAAAAAAAAAAAAAAAAGAAACGCAGAGATGCACAGATAAAAAAAAGACACGAATTGATGATTCAATAGAAAGAGAGCTGTGCTTGAACAGAGACAGAGCTACAGCCGCTGGGGTTTTCTTGTGTTGCAGGTTTTTTAATTCGCCTGTGTCTCAGGGCCAGGGCCTGACATTTGGGCTCAGTATCATTTTCTTTGCTACACTACCTTTCTTTCATGGGCCTACAGAATCGAAGTTCATCCCTCTTGCCTTTTCGCTTCCCAAGGTTACTACAGTTAACAACTATGTATTACATTTGCATTAACCCAAAATTGACTATTAAAAAAAAAAAAATCATCGATGTGAAAAATGTGAATGCCAAATATTAAATGAGATATTAATTGAAAAACTATATTTCTCTCAAGATAACCAATTAGTAGTGTAGTATTAACTATTAAATTAACCAGTCTAAATCTTTCCAAAAAAAAAAAAAAAGCCATCTTATGGAGGAATAAAAAATCATGAACCTCAGAAGTTTAACAGTTGCTTGTATGAACCACTTAAAAACGTTCATTATTTACTTACGGTGGCAACACAGCATGAGCTTGACCAAATCTTCGACTTCATGTACCCATCACAACCCTTGTAGAAAAAGCTGCATATGAAGACCGGAGCATATAGTTGATTCCTCAACTGGCTTCAACAATCTCAAGTTTCAAACGCAACAAATAACTATAACCACGTAGGTTAGAACCGCCAAAGTGTTGCCTCCCATTAAAAATGGACACTTTGTCTTCAACTTTAGACCTAGTGGTTAAAAAATATAAGATAGAAAGTTCAACCCCACCATACTCATTCCCCCATCCCCTATCCAATGGATAAAAAAAAAGACACTTCCACTCTCCACGAAATAACCACATCCCTCCAACAACAGTCACCACACAACCATTACATATGAGACACACAGAGAGAGAGAGATTGCAGGCACCATTTTACATTATTAAAGCCACGCTGATGGAAAAGTTAAAAGTCTTCACTCATACACAAGTCTCCACGCTCTTTGACACGTTCAAATGTAAGTTATTTGAAGTTTTGCACATTCACGATTAGTTTGCTACTTGGTAGATACAACACCTATTTGTCTTTTACAAAGGGGTCGATGAGAGGCATGTCGAACTATTAGCAGAATGAATATAAAACCATAGACCACATATCTCCTCATGTAATAACCCCTTAACCAAAGCCAAGAATGAATTGCCTGAGGAACGCCACCCAAGACCCAAGGGGCAAATACCTCCAGCTTTTCCTATATAGAACAAGACTCTCATTAGATACAAAGACAAACAATGACCCATTCTTTTAGACAATGAAAAACAAGTGTTAACAAACGCCAAACCTGCAGAACAATGCTGAAGAGAGCCACCCACCTCAAGGAGGAATTTCATTTAATTGAAGGGGCCCCATGTTGTGCCTGTGCCCCATTCCTTTGCACAATATCCTTCGGCTTGCCAAAGTAGTTAACCTTCACAGCATCATTAGATGATGAGTGGTACATTGATGACAGACAACGCCCTTTGGTGTTACCATTACCTAAAGGCTGTGCTTCGTGCAAGTCCTGAACTAGTGACCCATTTCCTTCTTGCTGACCATAGAAGGAATTTAAATTTTCAGTACGGTTGGCAGATACGCAATCAGACCCTGATAAGTGAGCTGATTTGCTTGAAACGTTTTCATCTGAATTCATGCCCTTTTCTGAGGTGGGACTGGTAACATCATCATCCAGCTTCTTTGTATTAAGAAAACGACCTCCACAACCCCTAGCCCTTCTCATAGCGTGTAGATGCCGCGACTCATGAAGGTATGGCTGTAGTCAATGGCAACATAATTGAGACCTGAACCTCCCTAACTAGGACACTTCTTCCAGCCACAAAGAAAAAAGAAAAAGGGAAAAAACCTAAAAATACCAATTCTACCTTTCTAACTTTAATGACTTTCTTTTCAAGCTCAGCCTTTGCACGTATTTGTCTTCGCCTCAAAATGCCATGATATTGCTTAGCATTTACATAAACAGGCTCCTCTTCCATTTGAAGAGGCAAAAGCATTCTAGCATGATGCATTCCATATAGATGTGGTGACATCTGGCATGACATAGTTAGAGTTATCAAAAATAGTTTTGTAATCCTAAATATAATTAGAAAGAGAACGCATTAACTTCACTGGTTCTGTGTGGTGTAATACATATAAACATCCCTTAAACCTTCAAAATAATAAGTTCATAACCTGTATCCCCACATGAAACTCATTTCAAGATCCATTTGAAGACAATTAGATGGAAAAGTTCCTAAAATAAGAGCCTTACATCAATGACCAACAATTATTATGCCAAAAACAGTGATACTTCAGATAAATTGAAACAATAGAAAGGTTAGATGATGGTCGGATCAATCAGATGGTAAAATTACTCTTCAGCGATTTGTACACAATCAGTGAAATAATTAGCAAATAAACTTTAAATTATTAATGAACAAGGTCGTTTTGCTCTCAAGGAAAGCAGAGAAAGGATGAACTCATTTTGTATGAAGTTCTAAGCACTATCTGTGGCCACAGTGTAACAGCATTATATGGAGCAAATGTGGAATAATCCTAGGTAGAAGTATCATCATTGCAAAAACTTTTGTCAAAGTTGTATACTTACAAAGTGATGCAAAACATAACAGGGTAAAAGGAGACAATATACGCTGTCTCTAATTATAGCTGAAAAAGAATCCATTTTCTAGTATTTGATACCTCTATTTACAGCAAAATATTAGTCACTAAATTTTGCCTTTTCCTATTATCCAATTTACGACAGAACAAGATACTCAGAGCATACCATCATTTGTGGCCTGTATGAAGTCATCATTCCACCATACTGCATATCTGAATAGGGATATGATGTCAAGACCTGAAAATTTTGGAGCAATATTTCTTCCGCAGTCAAAGAGAGAATCAATGCAAACTCGAAGAAATAAAGAATACAAAAAATGTAGGTTGACTGCCAAAATAGATGGAAGGATGTATGTTGATGCAAGTTTATGAATGCTTTGATTTGTATGTAAATGTGTGCATGGGTTTATGTTTGTCTAAGAGAGAGAGAGAGAGAGAGAGAGAGAGAGATAAAGGCCTTACAATTGAGTGACCAACTAGTTCCATTTGGGAATTTGGTTCAAGGTGTCCACCCAAAGTAAGGGATGCTGTGGAAGGAACATGCTTGAGATGTAGGCGATCTTGTCCATTTCTCCCATCTGATCCAAAAAACTAAGATTGCATCAATATCTAATAAATACAAAGCACATGGTTCATATGCCTCAATTTCATGCAAGAAGCAGACATATTACATGGCACTAGTTATCATTCTCAGATGGCAGCTATTTCCCCAACCTTGATTAAATTGGGTTTTGTTATCCTCAAAAACCTAAGACAGCACATATGAACTTCTGAAAATCAACACCAAGGATAGATTTTCGACCCAAAAACATTAATGCTGTGTGAGGAATCCAAAAAAAAAGTTAAAAAGCCTCCTGCATAGCTGGTAGGTTTGTAGAATATAGAAAAGTGTGAAGAGAATGGCAAGCCGAGGGCCTATACCTGGGCAAAAACCTATAGGGAATAACGCATTATTAAAGATCATAGGGAAAACAAGAAGACTCTTGGGAATAAATGAAGCCTCATTCCTCCTGTTTTATCCAGTGTGAAGTTAGAAAACATCAAATGAAAAAATTTACAAACCATTTATTGTCCCTACTAGATAGGTTCAAAACGTTCTCAGGAATCACCATGTTAGTGTCATTATTTCCTATTTTATGAAGAACGAGGCAAACAACTAGAAGAGAATGTCCCCAAAATAACCCTTTTGTCCCTTAAATTTGCAGAATTATTACATGTTGCTTCCTCTTTCCCCTAGTTCATTTTGTGAGATATGATCACATTCTAAAACAAATTTTCATTTCTCGTAAAAAAAAAACTAGGTAAATGAATGGCATATAACATATTATTAGCGTGTTTGAAGTAAAAAATGCATATTTTTCTTCCTTTTGTCAAATCATAACATATTATCAGCATATAAGTGATAGCAATAGATTCACCAATCCAGTAAAGTGATTAAGATCAATAAAAATTGGGTCTACCACTACCAGTACCAAATAACAGAATTCAGTTGGTCACAAAACTGATGTCTTGTGGTCTTTTAGCATAAAAAGAAGCACTCCATTTCTAACTAATATGAGAAATCCAAGATTGTGATCCTACAGTGATCAGATTATCTTTACTGGAATTACCTCCATTGACAAAGCCACCATTAGCCTGTGAATGCACAGCTCCATTTGCCACTGAACAATTTAGTTTTTCCACAGAAGGTGACTTTGAGGCAGCTTCACCTAAGGGGTTCATCCCAACTCCTTTCCACCAGGGCTCAGAGTAGGTAGTTGACTGCAACATACTTTGAGCACCATGGTCTATCTGTTGATCTTCATTCCCCGGTTTTGCTGGCATTATTCACAACTTATTCTGGAATCAGCAGCCAAGGCCCCAAACCAATCAAAAACAGAGAAATCCAGAGGATAAAAAAACCTGCACAATAAATACAATCTAAAAACCTAAATAGCCAAAACAAAAAACTTTTCTCATGAGATGTAAACAGAATAGAAACAGGAAATTCCATAACGATCTCAACTTCCCACTCACTATCATCTAATGCAACATAAATTATGTACAATCAAATGTCCAGTTTCATCAAGATTCACAGCAAAAAAAAAAAAAAAACCAATAACCAATCCTTTAATTAATTAAACATGAATCATATGTATAATACAAACATCATTAGTCAAAAATCTCAAAGGAAAACTTTTAAAAAATTATGTTAAAAAGAAAAGGGGGTTCATTCCCGCAATTCAAAATTCAATTGAAATTTAAAAACTAAAACTTCAAAATAAACGACACTTAAAGCTAGTAGGTCAGAAAAAGTATCCAAAAATCTTATTCAAATTCAGAGAGCAGGAATTAACGTCCAGCTGAAGTTAATACAACTAAGTGATTCAATTTCTAATTTTGCATCTGGGTATCTCTAGTTCCACCCGATAATTCATGCTAATCTTCTTCTTTTTCTCCAATTTTGTCATCAACCAAAAGAAGGGGAAAAAAACAAATGACAAGATGCTAAATTAAAACCCTAAAGTAGTGGACTTGAAATTTCTGAATCAAAGACGGGAAAAAGGGAAAGATATTTTGAGAGAATATTAAAAAAAAAAAAGATAAATATAGAGAGAGGACTTACTGCAGGAGGAAAGGATTGGATTTTGAGAAGCAAAGGTCATAGATATTGGTTCATTATGCTTTCTCTCTCTCTCTCTCTCTCTGGGCAACCTTAACAGAGACAAAGCCGCATTGAATTTGATAGAGAAGGACAAATGTACCAAGTTACTAATTTATGTTTATGTGTGCATCAACTAACAGAATTTTTTAAAAATGTTGTTTCAAATTAACATTTAAAAAAAAAAAAAAACTAAACATATTTTTTATACTCTAGTCCTACTAATTATTAAGTAATAAATTTCAATTATGTGTTACATTTGTTTGTTTTGTTTTAATTCACGCAAATGTCACTTTCTATGACAAAATAGTAAATGAGAAGGCTGAAGTACCCTTGCGGAAAAATAAATTTGCCTTTTCTTTCTTCTTATTATTTTTTTAAAAAAACAAAAATTTTCAATTGCTTGGAATACATTGACAGAAAAAACTTCAGATAGTATTTCCCAGAACACAATATTCTTGCATGATCCAGATTTTAAAATATATATAACCATGCATGGCATGCAAAACTTGTTTATTAAGTATCTGTATAACATTAATTCTAACACCTTGTTCCAATTAAATCTTTAAATAGTGGATGGAATATGTAGGGATACCTAAATCTAAAGTAGCTTTCCTTTGGTTGGTTTCTTTTCTTTTTTTTTTTTCTTTGTTCGGGCATTGCCACAAATTAAAAATAGAAAAAAGTAGTAGATGAAGATCAACTCAATTTGTGGTATGGTATGGATAAGCAATAAGTACGTAGTGGAAGTTCAACTCAATTTGTCATCATCACTTTCTTCCAACGCCTGTGGAGTCTTAGCTTTAATTTGAGGAAAGCTTGAGTTACAATTAAAGTACTTTTTAATCATACAACTTTGGTTGAGCACAAAGCCATTATCAAGTGTTGTCGATAAAGTCGGTTTGGTCAATTTTTTTCGCTTTTCTCCTACCCAAAGTTTTATTTAGAAAAATAGATTTTATAATTTTATAATTAGCATTAAAATAAAATATTATTTAGTATATATTTTAAAAAAATAAAAAATTAAGATGTTTATCATTATTTTAGTATCATTTATAAAATTAAAAAATTTTACCGTCAAATATCAAATATTTTTTTTTTTTTATCAATAGTCCATATTTGATTATTTTCCCCTGAAAAACTTTTACAAATTAGTTTAAGGAAAGTTTTAATACGTATTTCTTAATTGGACAGAAAGTTAAGTCGCTGCAAGGGAATCCAAAGCCACTAAAAAAACTACAACAAAAAATGGCCATCGCCAGCGCCAGCGCCAGCGCCAGCATTTATATCAAAATCTTTGTTCCCATATATCTTTATGTGCTGTACGATCATATCCAAGAAATGGGTGTAAATGGTAAAATTAGAACAAGGGATTGGGTTGGATACCATAAGAATATGATAGGAGAGTAAGACAGATGAAAAAACTAAGAAGGAATTTTTTATAATTTTTTTATTTATTTATTACTATTTATAGGCATGTAAAATAATTTATTTATTTATTTTTTTATTACACAAACGCAGACTCAAAAGATCCAACACTGGACACGAACACAGTGCCAGCTGTTAAACATGTGATGCACACACAACGTGTCCTAATCATAATAATTAGTAGGGGTCCACGCTATTTAGATCCTGCCACGTCTTCACCATTTTAGTATTTTTTTATTTGTCAACCATTCGTCACTCAACGCCCTTGTCGCCCTTGTCGTTGTCGGCTTCGCTAGCTTAACGGCGCTATCACGTTTCTGTTATCATCCTACGTAACAGCCTAACACCCAAAAAGAAATCATTGAATGAATATTAAAGGACACCATAAATCAGTTTTTGATACTTATATGTATTAAAAAAGCAATAATTCTAATAGTTTGCTTGAGCTGTCCTCTCTGCTTCCCCATGCTTTAACATTATCATAAACCTTAACCTAAAATGTTAATTAGTAGTCGTAAATTGAATTTTGAAACACCCTAATATATTCCTTTCTTCTACTTCATTTCTGGTTAGCGATCAATCAGTAGAACATAAAGAATTTTATCATCCAAAATACGTACTATTTATCACAGCACTTTAAGAAGGAAAAAGGTCAAAAAATAAAAGAAAAAAAAAAAACCCCCCCTTGATCAAAGGAACAAGGAGCCATGTGTGATTACGGACAAGCAGTTGGAAAATCGAGAACAAGACACGTGTAAGTGTCGGAATGTCTGAAACAGTTGAAACCGGCTAGGCGGCTCACACTAGCAAACTGCTATTAACAACCACACAAAAAGACTGCACTGCACTGCCAAACTTCGTCATATCCAAACTTGTCGATCTCACAGAACACACGTTATCATTGCAAGTACCGCGCTTGGACGGAACTGGATCTGCACCCTACTTATAATTGGCAATGCTAGCTTTCAGGTACTTATTTGTCTAAAATTAACAGCTCTCACGACGCTTAATTTAGATAATGTTTAGATAAATATTAATAAAAAAATAATATATATATTTTTTGTTTACATAATTAAAATTAATAAAAAAAATTCTAACAACCAGATAAAAAATAAAAAAATAATTTATTATAGTAATTTTTTTCAATTATAATTTTTTATCATTTGTGATTTTAAAACACTCATAAATTATGATATGTTTGTTATTTTATATAATTTCACAATTATTATTATATCAATAATTTTTAATAAAATGAAATAAAAAAATATTTTACAAATATATATTAATGGATTCTTTGGTCATTATTAAAATTTTAACATTATATCACTTTAGTTATATATTCATATAAAAATTATTAAATATAAAAAATACAATCACATAAAAATATTATATTTTATGAATCCAAAAAATATATACATTCATATTTAATCATTCATCAAAATTAAATTACCAACAAATTATAAAAAAAATTTATATTGACAAAGACATGTGAAACACTTAAAAAATGATTTAAAAAAATTGCAAAAAATTTGTGATATGATTAAGTTTTTTAACTAAATTTTTAATTTTAATAAAAAATAAATATAATAGTTTTTTTATAAATATAAAATTTTTTCTTAATTTTTCCTCTATTAAAAAAATAAAAATTTATTAAGTTTTTACTTTTTAATTTAAATTAAAAATTTATTCAAACAAAAACCATTACTTTTCTTTATTTTTTTTTCCCTTTCCTTCCCTTTCCCTCAACCCAAACATAGCGTTAGTAGCTCAACACGTTCACCTTGGGCCCAAATTTTACACTAAAAGTAGAAGCTCATTAACCTCATTCTCTAAATCCTAAATCATCGTATCCAAAATAAGCTGTTACTAAAGTTTAAGGACATGAAAAATTCTCAAATATATTTCTGTAGTTGAACTTTTCTCTTTTGTTTTAAATTTTTTTTTTATTAAGGCAACAAACTAAACCAAACATCTTCATTTGCGCATAATGAAAACCAAGAGTGCGTTTACATCTAAATTTAAAGACACTCAGAAACATCTACATTCCCCAACAAACATGTTGCACACCCAGTAAAAGTTCATCTGACAAAATACGTATCATACACAACAATCTTTCCTACTTTAGAATTGTTGCATATACAAGCTAGTTCCGACAATTTAGCATTCTTCAGACAGGCTTATTATAACCATTTTGATCAGTACAACTTACAGGCTCAGTAGCAAAACATAGAGAATTTTACAAGTTTCAGCATCTCGCTGCCACATTACCTGAATGTCAACTACTATCATGGAAACATGCCCTCAAGGTACTTATCAAAGTCTTCATCATCATCATCACTTTCATGATTGACAGCTGAAGATGAAGCCCATTTACCTGAAAAAAAGGGGAAAACAATAACAGTAACAACAACAATAACAAACATATCCGAATTCTGAAGGTGTAGGCTAAAAATTAATGGCCAAATAGATGGCCTAAGTGTACCCTTGATTCCCCCAGCTAGGCTGAGATTGGCAGAGCCAAATTAACACTCATCATAACACTCATTAGCCCTGATAGGACCCTTTTTAGCTTAATGAACCTAAGCTAATCTGGGATATGTATTGTTGCCTAGGAAAAACATGGTTTAAAAAGATAACCAGGTCAGTTTAGCCCACAGCCACAACATCTACCCAAACTTTATCTAAATTATTTCAATCAGTATGGCTATAGCTCTAATCCGACCTATCTCTAGTTTACTACTTATTCTTCTTGGTATTAATACCAAGAACAGGAAAATGTTACCAAACTACCCATCATCATATAGCATAGGTCCTTCTTCAGTTGTGAACTTTTTTTTTTTTTTTGTAGGCAATATATAAAACATTAAAACATATAAAGATAACTACAGGCAACCCTCCTTGCCCGATATGGCTTGTCCTCTAGACCCTTAATTCCAAATCAATTGGGTAAATTTGCACAAAAAGGATGCTTGCCCTGAGGGTGTGGCGGAAGTAGAGTAACAAGAATGGCATCTTGCTGTAGAAAGTAAGCAACTTATGAAAATGAATGACGAGGAACCATCAATGGTAACTCCAAACCTTTTCTCTTCACTTTGCTCCTCTCACTCCCCTCGTCTGTGTCATCTGCATCTTTTGACAGATCCCTGAACATAGTACAAGAGTCAGATTCTAAACAAGGAAAAAAGAAATGAGACATCAACATTTTTCAATTAGTAGATGATTGGCCAAAAAAATAGTAGATAATAAATTCCTAGCAAAAAGTTTTTTGGACTCAAGTTGACACCTTTTCCTTTTGTACTCCTTTTTCTGTTTTCTCTCTAGTTCCTCCTCCTTCCGTTTTTTGTAATGAAGCTTCTCAGCGCATCTATTTGAAACAGTCAACAAAAAGAAAGAAGCAGTCAAGGACTTAAGGCTTAAGTGTAAATTCAATATATTAAACAAAACATTAGAAAATGCTTCAAATCAAAATAATGAAAGGACATATTGACAAACCGTAAAGAGAACACAGAGAAATTCAATAAACAAAAATTTCATATCATCTAAGAGCATCTTCCTATGCAAAAATTTGAACACTCACCATGCCTTTTTCAACTACATGATGTATCCTAGAGATAAATTACAGAGATAAATTACAACAGGTTTTACTCCATATTTGAAAGGCCTGGTTGCAGCCTAGGATTTATAACAAATGACAACTATCTATTATAACATTCTTACTAGTCATCCTCTCAACTTCTAACTCACATCCATACATCCAGTTGAAGTGAGAAAAATGATTTCCTCGCTTAAAATGTTTGTTATCTTTGATAAACCGTTTGTACATCGACAGGATGAATGAGGATGAAAAATACATACACAAATGGCAACGGTCAACGTGAGAACACAGGCAATATTAAGCAATTCACCAGCAAGCCATGGACCTTAAACTCCAAGTACAAGGCATAAAATCAAAAACACTTTTGACCCACAAGCAGATAAAATGAGAAAGATAAAATGTACACAAGCAGAAATGGTCAACAAGACTTCGCCAAAAAATAAAAGGAAATGGTCAACAAGAGAAAAAAAGGCAACATTCAGCAATTTTCCAACAGGCCATGGACCTTAAAACTCCTATTACATGGCATGAGATGCACAACAGCCAACAAGTACTACAAGACATCTTTTGTACACAAAGTTGCTTGGTAATAAAAGAATAGTTCTGGCCCAACATGAGAGAGAGAGAGGGAGAATTGAAGAATCACACAAATAAATCTCACTACATACTCACTTTTCACAAACTACCAACTTCACAAGGGCTTGCTTATTTTCTCCAGCCTCAAAATAGGAAAAGTTTACCTGAAAATTTTATCCAAGGAAAAATAATAGCACAAGTTACCCTACTATTTTCACAGACAAGATAATTCTCTTCATAACAAAATATTTCAGTATTTAGAAAGTAAAATAGGAACTCCACATCCCTCCACAACATACTTAATGCTATTGATGAGGTAGAAGTATCACATAAATCATTACCTAACCTTGCAAAATTCATACCCATAATATAACATCAACAAACTCAAAATTATCCGATACCCTGTGTAAAGTTAAAAGATGATGGATAGTGAAAGGTGAAATGGAGATTACAAGTACAAATACTTGCCTCATAGCTTGCTAAATCATCTTTCTTGTTGCAGTGCTTATTACCACATATGAACTGTCCTGACAGAAAAGAGTAATAAGTAAATTATAAACTTATGTACCATTACCACTTAATGAGCATCAATATGATAGAAGACAACTGTTAATTTAAATTTACAGAGAGACAAGAATCAATGGAAATAAGGAGTGTTTAAGGCAGTGAATTCCTCGCTCTTGCTTCTAGTACCTTTCTAAACAGCATCCACCTCATGATAATTAATTTTACAAGTGGATGTCAGTGCAACAAGTTTAACAATTGCCACAACAGATTTTGGTGGTGCATTTAGCAGTGTCTCAGCCCTCAACTTTTCAACCAATTTTGGTGCATATGGTACTGCCTGAATTTGACCTCAGCCTTTATCACTGCTACCAATCTTTGCCCACTTAATCTTTGTCTATCCCTTCCCAACGACTTTTAAGTATAAATTAAAGCCATCTATACAGATCCTTTTCAAATTAATGACATTGCATAGCTTTCTGATATGCCCAAGTCAGACAGGAATATGAAGGTAATTCTAGAACAATGTAAAACATAAGATTTCAAAACAAAAACCAGATCTGAAATACAGCCAACCAAAATGATATATCCTATACGAATTGATATTAGGCTAAATGCTCGATTTAGGATCTAATGTTTGAGCTTTTTCTCAATTAAGGATATAATCTTTGATTCAATTATGGAGTAAACATTTGCGACTGTGCTCAAATCAGGATCTTTTAACAAGTGTAAATACAGACGCTGTTAAATTTCCACGTGGCCGTTAATGTCAAATCAATGCTTCTGTCTTTTCGTTCTGTCAGCAAAATTTTCAAAAAAATAAAAGAAATTAGCCAAAAAAATAATATCTTTTCATCAAATTAAAAGAAAAAAAACACAACTGCATTTGTTTTTGTTGCTTGGGTTCTCTTTGCAAGGGCTTGAAAGTGCGTTCAGATGACAAGAGAAAAGGGGTGCTTTTGAAGGAGAAGTATGGAGACAACAAAAGGTTTCTTCAGATCCACTTCTTCAGTTTCCTTTCCCTATTGTTCCTCATAGCCATCTTCTATACGGTCTTGGCTCACTGATAATCATGAGCATTTTTTTACCCTTTTCTCCAAGTTTCATGTTTTTTCCTTTTTTGTCTGTCTTATTTTTATAGGTCCAAGAATCAAAAAACAAATGGGATTTTTGGTTGATTTTGGGTGGGAGGGAAGAGAACAAAGAGAAAAAGAAATGGAGATGATACTCTGATTTTGGGGTTACTTTAGGTTTCCACGAAATGCCCTCGAAAAATGTTAAAAGATGCAGCATTTTTTTAGGAGATGGGAGGATTTAAGGTGCAATCGAAATGGTAGAGATGTACATGGGGGTGGGGATGATCTGTTTCTAAGTTGCTTTCAAAAGATTCATTTATGGGATTTTCTCAAGGAGAATGAGAATATATTCTAAGCAAAATATGAGGGGCTTTGCGGATGAACATCTCTGCTCCGTATAGAGAATTTGATGAACAGACTCCCAATAGAGCATCTGATATTGCTTTTAGTTCTATGCTTGTAATGCATATAAATGAATAAGTCAATTTTTATTTATTAGTTTTATTTTTAAGTTCTGTTTTTTATTAAGCCTCATTTATTTCTATATTAAAAATAACATTTTACCCCTATTTTTCTGCCAACCAAGATGAATAAGCAACTTCACTCTATTTCAATGCAAGTGAAGCACACAGCTGTAACGGAGCCCCTTTTTGAACAAAATCGAAAACATTTAGTCCTACATTGAGCCAAATTAAAGATGATTTCCTTAATTGAGAAAACCTGCAAACGTTAATCCTAAATTGAGCATTTAATCTTGATATTAATCACAGCAGTCAACAGTAAAGAGAAATCTATTTACCTTTACCAGATATAACTTCCTTCTCTGTCCTCCACCTCAAACCAATCTATAACATCAGAAATGAAAAATCTTACAAATAAAAAATAACTTGAATTGAAATAAATTCTTCATAGCAAAAAAAGCATCTAAAGCAGATAATATAGACACTTTGTATGATTATAATAAAGAATAAAAGAGATGGAAAAGAAGATAACTATCGATGTGGTTTTCCCACTTTTGAATAACAGATTGTGCTTGTCACTATTGCAAATGAATTTGAAGTAAGACCAAACCAGAGAAAACTTCCCTATTTTTTCAGGTTGGTTCCAATTTATACTCAAGTTATAGCTAACCATGATTACATTACATAAATTTTCAAAAATAGATTACATTACATAAAATGCTTAAAGCATTACACATGAAAACTTTTCCAAAAAACATATAAGAGTATCAAACAACTATCATGAAATAGACAAGTTTCTAAAACATCAAATAAGTAACCACATACCTTACCACTCTTACATTGTGACATGTCAGCTATGCAATATCTTAAATAAGCTTAAGGGAACAAATAAAATAACCACAACTAATTTTCATTGAAATTAAAGCTGCAGCAAAACTATTTTAAGAATGCAGCCTAGTCAACAAATTAATTGTTCCACCAGCTGTCTAAATTTCTATAGAAACCAAAGTAATGCATGATTTCCTTTGAGGATGGACCTGCCACTGCCTCACTCAACTTTCCAATTGAGATTTACTAAGAAGAAAAAATCTTCTCTTTCTTGCCATTAGGAAAACAGAGGTGGGACGAGCATGTCCTAAACATGTTGAGGTTCTAAATTTTCAATATCCCAAATTATCTAGAAATTGAAATAGCATAGGATACTCTTTAAAAAGCTTATCATAGTATCTCTTCACCAGCCTCTGTTCCCAGGATGGATTCACATCATCTTCCTCTGACCGTATGAAGCTTCATCAATTGTAAAAATGTGCAAAAAAAGGCACACAATTTAGTACCATTTAACAATAAGTCCCATGTTTGAAAATAGAGCTTTGTCAAGATTAGAAAATAGTTTCAGGCAAAGAAAAGACACCGCATCAAGATAATCTTCATATTGATTTACAGATAGAAATAAAGCAAAGCAAAGCAAATCTGCAACTAACAATTTTGCATGCAGTTCTTTTTTATCCTACATTTTTTTAGGCAAAACCACCATTCAATCTAAGCTCTTCATGGATACACTTCATAAACATGCATCCACATCAAAAAGCAGATTTAGCCTGACACCTGTTTCAAGATTCTCAATTTGATATAATGAGTGATCAGAAATTCACTTCATGAGTATTTATCAACCTGCACAATCAGCTCTGAATCCATTTGTCTTCTACGGTCTAATAATTAAATGTATAATCTGCGATAATAAAGACACTCATATACATCCCAAAGTTGTCCAGTCACACTTTTACATTTGTGTCGGAAAAAGAAATTATAACAAAGCAAGACAACTAGACCATATCGAGTCAGTTCTCTTCATTGCAAAGAGAGGGTGGTGGGCAGGTTGCACATATTAATAACAGTTAAAAGTTTTATTCAAGCTCTGGAGAGTCAGAGCTAATGACTTATGTCACTGATGAAAAACTCAAAATAACAACTAGTAGTAACTTTTTACTTATATATTGCGGTAACACTAGTGTAACTCACACGTGAATCCTCAAAGAGAATGTATCAAAGGTATATAGTTGAAAGGAAGGAAGTCTACATTAATTGTAAAGTGACAGTGAGACGTGCAAGTCCATTGAACACAAAAAGCAAAAGCATACCGATATCCCTCCCTCAGGGTATCATGATCAGTTTTAACCGGCAACTTCACGTCTGTAGATTTTTCTTTTCCATAGAAGCAAACTGCAAAACAATAAGCAAAAGCAAACATATGACATACACGCCAACAACAACAACAAAAATCTCTGCTTGAGTAGTTTTAGTCGGAAAAATAATGTGTGGCTAACTGTAGCCTCCTTCCTTTCTTAAAGGAGAAGACTGTTCATCATCCAGTTGTTTTAGGACACAAAGGAGGTAACAAATATACAGCTCATTATTTGCATAACCCCTACGTGTCCATTTTTAACTAACAACCAATGCCTACCTCAACAGATAAAGGGAACAATTAGAACATGCCAATCACAAATCCAAAAGATTTCGTACGGGAAGAAATAAAAACATTAGCAGCGAAAAAAAAAATACAATTAACGTACTTACCGTAATCGTTCAAGAATTTCTTGTGGCGATCGTAGGCGTTGAGGCCGCGAATGTGAGCTTGGTACTGCCTGAGATTTCAAATTCAATTTTTAAGTTTAAATGAGGTGAGCTCAAAAGATGCGTGTCTTGTGTTGGATTCAATCGTAATGATAATAATAAAATTGGGTATAGGCAAAAGGAGACAGAACCGTTTCTTCTCTTCTCTATCGAATATTGCAGATTTGAGGGAGCCGAACGACGCCATGTTTGCGTGTTTCAAAAGCAGAAACCCTAACGGCAGTTTCGCTGTTTCCAGTCCGGCTGGCTTGGGCTAAGTAACGGCACAAAAAGAATAAAACCTACCACTCGCCTCTATTCTTCGCGTTTTTCCTCTAAAGCCGCGGAATCCGATAAGTTTTGCTACTACAAATATTTTGGGTCGGGTAAAAGTTAAAAAGTAAAATCACAAAAACGGAAAACAGGCACCGACTATTATTTCCCTCAAAAACACAAAAATACAATGTTGGTCAACGTAACATTACATCACCCAATAGGGATTCCATTTACCCAACCGTTACAAAATTTTATCTTCTAATAATACTTTTTTTGTCAAGACAATTTTTATATTAATTTTTTAAGAAAAAAAAGTTATATGCACACAAATGTACACAATTTATTTTGTTCATATCAACCTTTTTATTTAATAAAAATTATCTTATTTTTTATTTTTTAAAATATCATCACAAAATAATTATATATATTTATATTTCTTATGTATATAAATTATTGTCCTATTTTTAATGATATTTCCTATGACTTTTTAATCAATCATGCATGTTACAGCTTAGGTAGTTAAAACTAATTCTAAAAAGTAAAGTAGTTAAAACTTATTCATTAATCAAGCAATGGTGTTTAAGTATTGTTTGACACAATTCTTTTAAGTATCAGTAGAAACGGTTGTGATAACTGTATTATTATTCAAGAACTTATCCACTCATTTAAAATTAAGAGAGGAGGATTGGGACATATGATAGTCAAATTTGACTTGAAAAAAGCCTACGACAAGCTTGAATGGGGATTTATTAGGAAGGTGCTTACTTTTTTTAATTTACAAAAGTTTTGAATTTCCTTGATCATGAGCTATGTCTCATCCTTTTTTATTTCCATTTTAATGAATGGAAGAATGCTAAAAAAATTCAAGCATTCCAAATGTTTGAGACAAGCTCTTTATTTTGTATATGGAGTTTCTAAGTTTAAAAATTCTTGAAGCTGTAGAATACCGTAAATGACAGCCTACTAAAAGTTCACGAAATGACCCTATGCTTTTTTATGTCATATTTGCGGATGACATTATTCTTCTAGGTAGAGCAGAAGGAAAAACTGTTAAGTCTATGTAGGAGGTTCTCATAACATTTTATGGTAAGTCTGGGTAGACCATTAATCTGAAAAAAATCCAAAGTTTTATTTTCTGCCAACACTAGACAAGACTACAAAAAAGATATTACTAACCTTTTGGACATTGACAAAACCCTTAATCTCGGAAGATACTTGGGTTTTCCTATCCATAAAAGGAAGAGTTAGTAAAAATGATTATGCCTTCATTGTCAACAAAGTCAGAGCAAAGTTAGCACATTGGAAGATAAATCTACTTTCTCCTGTAAGAAGAATGGTGCTGATCAAGTCAACTATGGAAAAGCATCCGCAGTTATTATATGCAATGTAAAGCCCTTTCAGTTAGCATTTCAAATGAGTTGGACAGGGTTAACAGGAAATTTCTATGGAAAAAAAATGGGGATAAAAAGATATTGCATATGCTTAACTAGAGTGAAGTGACCAAGAAAAAAAGTGAATGTGGACTGGGTTTGAAAGAGATTCGAGCTCAAAACCAAGCACAGTTGGCTAAGTTGGTTTGGAGATTTCTTAATCAAAATGATGCTTTATGGGTTAAAACGCTAAAAGGGAAATATCTCCAGGAAAATGGCACTTTGAAAAAAGCTTTTAAACTATCGACAACATGAAAAGCCATGAGATAGGCAGGTCCGATTGTTGAAAAAGGTATTGGTTGGGTCATTGGTGATGGCTCTTCTACGAGCTTTTGGCATGATAATTGGTTGGGGTCTAGGAGTTTAAGAAATATCGTTCATGACCCTCTTAATTGGCAGGAGGATCAAATTTCAATGAGCCAATGTCTAAATGCATTAAAAAATAATCAACCTCTTCCAATTTCTTTCAAGCTTAATGCTGATGTTCTGGATAAAATAAATGCTATCCCTACTCAACTGGTGGGACAGGGACAATATAGTATATACTGGTATGCATCTTCTAGTGGGGTATTCACTACCCAATTTACTTATAACCTTGTTAAATGAACAAGTCTGAACGAGAATAAAGGTCAATGGGAGTGGATTTGGAAGTTGCGTGCTCTGTCAAAAATTAAGTTTTTCATATGGCAATGCATGCACTGTATCTTGCCTACACGTAATGAGCTTGCTAGAAGAGGATTGAATGTTCCAACTATTTGTGTGTTTTGCATGCATGACCAAGAGGATTTGGAACACTTATTTTACAATTGCTAGTGGACTAGAAACATATGGGCTGCCTTGTGAGGAGCTCTTTGCCTTTATCCATCAAATCCTGGACTATAGACAATGGATCAAAGAAAATGCTTTAAACAAGCATCGATCCATGCATGGTATCCCCTAGTACCTGTTGTTTATCCATATTCTATGAGAGATTTGGCTTGAAAGGAATAGAAGAAATTACAGACAGAATGGTGAAATCGTTGATTTTGTGAAATTGACAACTACGAAGATTGCTAAATTCTTTGCGATGAACCAGAGAGGAGTTCAGGCTTCGTTGCAATCTTTTGTGTCCATTAGGTAGAACCCTCCCAATGAAAAATGGTATAAATTAAACACAGATGACTTGGTATTGGGTAACCTTAGAAAAGTAGGAGCTGAAGCCATTATTTGAGACAACGAGGGAAAATGGATTTCTGGTTCCTCTAAATATATTGAGGTGTGTTCAAATATTTTGATTGAATTGTGAACTCTCAGAGATGAATTATTTTTTACAAAAAGATTCAATATCCACAAGTTAAAAATTGAACTCGATATCATAACTGTTATCTTTACTATTAAGAATCATTAGGTGATTAATCCCATGATACTCTTTCTGATCTCTGTTGTAAAAAGTTGATGAAAAATCTTGAAGATCAATGCATGTGTCATGTGTTTAGAGAAAAGAATAGGTGTGCTTATATTATTACTCGATTTGATAATAACAATTATCGTAATAGTTTTAATTATTAAGAGATCAATTATGTGATGTTTAATAAATCTCTTTTTTTTGTTAAAAATTTAAGCTGGACATACTCCAAAGAACATTAATTTCTATGTTGGGTTACAGCAACATTAATTACAAGAAATTATTAAACCCAGGCAAATTGAGATCGAAATTATACAATATTTTTAAGTACAGAATGAAGTATGATTTTGAGCATTGGGCGGACAAAACTGCAGCGAGTCAACAGTTATGACTCGACCTACAAACTGGTATTTGACTGCTGCCACTTTTTTTTTGTAGTCCAACGTGGCACCGTTTGGTTGGTAAAAGTAACAACCCGGTAAAAAATCCTAAACTTGAACCGCAACAACAAAGTCACCCTCTGTAATTTCTTTTGTTGGTTTGGGTTATGTGAACTGTAATATCATTGCGTTCCAGCTGTTGGCCTAATTCCCATGGTCCGACTGCCAGGCCTCAACAAAGCACATACAATAGAACAGAAAAGAATTTATTAAAAAAAAAAGAAAAGAAAAAAAAAGGGGTATATTTCTTTAAACAAGAAAGTAAATAAATAAATAAAATAAGCAAAGAAAATGATTGGGTGTAAATGATCTGTAGGCGTCTCCATTTCAACTGTCAATCATTCATTCCTGACTCTAAAATCTACAGCGCACTGTCGGTGGAGTGCAGAAGGAGCTACCGGCTGTTGCTCTGTCGCTTTCGTCTATTGTAACAAATTTCTCCGCTTACAGCTATTATTTAGAGAATAATACCCCCTTCAACTGTTTCTTTTATCATTATTAATTATTATTGTTATTTTCTATTATATTATTTTTAGAGATTTAGTGAGGTGTTACTTTGCATTCCTCGTCTCTTTCTTACCTCAAATTCTTCATTCTTCAAGGTTTGTAGATCAGTTTCTTTCTCTGATTTCCCTTTCTCTGGTGCCTTTCCTGCAAGATTTGATGTAGTTTTGGTCTCATTTTGCAAGAGATTGAAGCCATTGTGTCCATTTTTAGTCCGATTTTGCTTTTAAACCTTAAAACTCGGTCCCCTTTTTAAGGTCATGTTTGTTTTTCACTCTGAAAATTGTGGATAACTAAGTGAAAGCCTTAGCTTTGGATGATGTTTTCTTGGTTTTTTCACGGATTTGTTTCAATATTTTGAATTTTTCCGTGTTTGATTCATAGTGCATTTCCTTATAATATTTTTCTCTAAATGTTAAACAAATTGGATTACCCAACTCTTATTTACTCGTCTTATTTGTTATCGAAATTTCAGATTGTGGTTTGTTTGGTGAACGCTTTGAGTTGAAATTTTCTATTAAAAGAATTGAATTGAACTTGTCTATGGCATTCATCTGAGTGTGCTTTGCTAGTTCTTTGTTTGGTTGCTGAGAGTTCTAAGGAGTTGACTTCATTAACTCAATTAAGTGCCATTTTTGCAGTACATTAGTAGAAAATTTAAAGGGTGAATAAGATACTTCAAATGTTGTTACGATTTTTTTAAAAATCTGTTTGTCATTGTTTATTTATTTCAAATTTGGACTCAAAAACCTACTTTTGAAGTGCAGGATTAATTGAAGTAATTCCTACTTTCATTTATAAAATAAAAGCATGCGCATGTCTTGTTGATACTTGGACAACCATTTGCGTACATTGTTCTGAACTGAGGAAAGAAGCAGGTGATAATGGAACCAGAAGGAGACATTGGGGTATGTATTGAAAGAAATATTCACGGCTGTCTCTGATTTGCTGTTTGCTTTATTGGTTTGAAAATTGAAGATAAAAGAAAATTAAACCACTTATGGGTGCTTTATTTTTATTTTGTTTCCACACCACCTATACAAGAGGTCCATTGGAGTAAAAATTGTTGGCTTTTCTGGTTCCATAATCAAAAAGGAATTCGTGTTTACTTTGTTTTCAATTGATTTCCTCAATTTATTATTAAATCACAACCTAGTTATCACTGCTCCATATGATTGCTCTACACTTTGATTTGTGTTCTTACTTATAGCTGTGCATGTTTGTTAGGTTTAGATGTTTTTACTTTGAATACTCAATGTTGTCCATTTTTATTATTATTTATTTGACTTGTTACCCTTTGATTGATCAGGGCAAGCCCGTGAAGAATCTGGGCGGCCAGGTGTGCCAAATCTGTGGTGATAA